TACGTTATATAAAGCTAAGTAAAGTAGACTAGAGTCTAATATACTAGTATTTAGAAAAGATAAAGAGGTTATATAACCTCTTTAAGATTAAGGACTTTAATTATTAAGCTATTAATCTAGCAAAAAGGATTTAAGGGGTTAAAGATTAAGTCTATTAACTTAGATCTATAGTAAAGAGATAGATAAGTACTTAAGAAGGAGGTATTCTTATAGTTAGGTAGTTTAGATCTTTACTAATTAATCTAAGTAATAGTTATACTATTAAAGAGTTTTACTCTTAATAAAACCTTATACTAAAGATACTACTTATACTACCTTATAGTATTTTCACCTAACTTACTTCCTAAATAGACTAACTATAGATTAGGGATAAGCTATCGTTATAGTAGGTAACCTCTCTATAGGGCGTTTTACTAATTTTACGCCTTACTTAAATATCATTAAACCTACCCTACCTATAATTTTTACTAGCTATACTATATAAGTTACTAGTTAGGAGCTATTTAGAGATATTTTAGTTTACTTAGGAAGTAAGCTTAGCTAGCTTAGGAGTTAACTTAGTTAGCTTAGGGAGCTAACTTAGCTAGCTTAGAGTAGAGCTTTAGCTAACTCTAGCTAGGAATAGGCAGACTTACTAATTATAGTAGGTCTAGTGCCTACTCCTGGCTATTTAAAGCGGTAAGTGGAATAGGTGACTTTTCTACCGGTATAACATGATATAGTCAGGATGGAGAGACGGGTTATCAAGTCTTTATATGTTTCCATAGATTAAGCGCCGCCAAAATGCCAGATATTCAAGAAGCATAGAGCTAATAATACACCAAAGAAGATTGGCCATAATCTGGAGAACGTAAAGAAAATGGGCCAAAAATAATCAATAAGACGTTTGCATCGTGACCAATATCGCCTAGCTCGGGCATAATATTCAAGAAAAGTAGGCAAAGTAACGGCCGGCCTTGGTATCTCAATCCGCTACAAATAAAATGACTGTCCCGCTTTGGAAATGATGAATTCGCACCCGAGTTGCGCCTCCGCCTCGTGATCCTGCAGCTGCTCCAGTATTACATCAGCGGGGGCCGGTCCCTCCGAAAACGTCTCCTTGACGTGTATAATGACAATCTTGAGCCCTCTGAGCGGACGAGACAATGACGTTGCCGACATTGGCATCGTCACGGTACCAAAATCCGAATCATGCAGCGACAGTTCCTCCGTCGGCGTCGCAATGTGCGGCGTGTCCGTGCCCCCGGTCGTTCTCACCGCGACCTCGGTCGCTCGCAGACTCGGCCTAAGCGACTTGGGCGACACGGGGTCCTCTGCTGCAAAGGCCTGCCTGCGTGATGCCGCATTCGGTCCACGGTCACGCCTCTCCTCGGAGATGCTCAAGCGCTTGCGCTTTCTAGATTCCAGGGCGCGCAGCTTCCGCGCGACTTCCACCTCGGCCGCGAGCGCCGTCAGTTCTTCCATGACGAACACAGGCTTGAGGTGGCCGTAGAGCCGGTCGTTACACTGCGAATCATCAAAGCTGCACTCGATAAAGATTGCAGTAAGATTACCGGCCGCGATTTTGGGGGCAGCCTCCTGCCAAATGTGCAAATTGCGTGGGCTCAGCGATACACTGTCCGGCTCGACATCGCCAAAGATGAGAATCTCGCGGCGCGTCGTCTGCTCCTGGATAAAGTATGCGCTCGAGTCGTAGACGCAGACGCGCTCAGTCTCGTTGGACTGACGCGGTGATGAATTACCGAGAAAGGTCTGGTTAGCAAGCGAGTGTGCCCGGGACATGGGCTGCGGATGCGGTGTAGCGCAGGTATCCCGTCGAGGCACGGGGACAGCGCCGGAAGCGTCATGACTCCCGTATCGTGTGGAAGGATTGGAGGCCGTCGACCCGCGATGGTTGTGTTTCTCCATGCAATGGCCGTGGCTGACGCTCCACGTCTTGACCTGCAGGCCCTCGCAGACTTCCAAATATCCCTTGCCCTCGCCCTCGCCAAGGGCAGGGCTGCCGCCCTCAACCAGCCGTAGATAGGTGAGCAGGCCCGCGCCATTATTCTCGTCGCTGAGGTTGGGCCAGATGACATTGTTAAAGATGTGCGTCTTGAAGGCTTGGATGGTGCTGGGCAGCGCCGCGAGCTTCTTGGGCCGCGTGCCAGTGAGCCCGGGGGTATTGATGACGAAGCCAGAGATGTGATCGAGGTGAGGATGTGTGATGAGGTACGTGTCCACAAGCGCCCGTGCGACGTGAGCGGCATTGGCTGATGCGGTGCTGTGAGGCAGGCGCAAGCCGGCAAAGGGACCCGAAGTCAGCGCAAAGGGCGTCGATGGCACGGGCGAAGGTGTCGCCTCTTCGATGAGGCGGGTAATGGCGGAAAGGTGAACGCCAGCGTCGACGGCAACAAGAGAGCCCTTGCGCCAATCGTGCTCTAGTGAACGGACAAGAAAAGCCGTGGCATTGGACTCTTGCGGTCCGCCCCCGGATCCCTATTGCGACAGTGTTAGTGTCAGCACTTTGTATCTCGATTTCCATCAAGAAGATGATGATCAATGTCTTTCTTTTTTTCCGCTGCGTCTCATTCTTTGAAGTTGTGAGCAACAGGCGCTAGACAGCACCCGTCGTTGTTTTTTTGCTTTTTCGGGCGCCCAGCCAACAACGCGAATACTCACACCAGTGCATCACCAGCAGCTGTTGGCAACTTACCAGAATAATCACCTGCAACGACGGGCTGGCTTGATCTGCCATGGTCTGTCGTCCGCCGGCAGTATCTGATAAGGCGACAGTTTTGGAATGTTGTAAAAGGCACTCGCGTGTGTGTTCGGCGCAAGCCGCGGCCTGCACCGTGACGGACCAGCCAAAGCACCAAGGTGGCAAGCAGATGCACCAACCAGCCCACCACACCCAACAAAGGCGCCGCCTCCGGGGTCGCCGATGGTGTGGCTTGCCCGGCCGCTGTATGAATCACGTACAAGAATGGAGCTCCTGCACGATGATGCGCCCTGGGGTCTGCAACTGCCAGTCCCCAGGGTCCCCAGGGGAAATGGGCCTAGGCGACGACAAAGAAATAAGAGGTTGGATGAAGCGTTTGTTATCTCGACCGTCCTTGTCGCCAACCCAGATTGGCTTGCGTAGAGAAGGTTGCACGTGATTTCTGGTGCTTTGTTTTGCCTCCTTTTTTCTCTCTCTTCTTTTTTTTTTTTCTTTTTTTCTGATTCTTCGATTCTTGGAAATAAAAAAAAAGAATACATGTTCTCGCCTCTGGACTTGGACGCGGCGCGTTAGACGGTCAGAATCGCCAACGTACCATTGCTGAAAGCGAGGAGGAGCAGGTCAGGCTTCTCCAGCAGCCCACTCGCCTGCATGCGAGATCCGATGCTGTATTGCTTGGTAGACTAGTTATTAACTAGGTCTCCCCGTGCAGCGTCCACCCTTGTTGCCGTACGTATTGCTTTGATAATTAGGTTGAGCTGTGGCGGCCCGTTATGCATCGGGCGACGCGACCCTACCTGCGCCCTGATTGTGCTGCCCGCCTGCGTGTCAGGAGGATCAACCTCGCTGTCTTTGTGGTTCAGAATTCTCTTGCTCTGGTGGCTGTGTCTTGTGCCACGGAACCACAACAGGGAGGGGGGTACAGCCTACCTTAGTAAGGGGTGGACAAAAAAACATGGCGGGTACCTATACACTGATTTACGCCCACGATTAGCGGTGATTGTAGGTAGACTAGCGCCATGTTTTTTATCCACCGAGTGCTTAGGTACTCCGTACACCCACTGTACGTTTGTACGTATTCAAAGATACCGCAGATGTGGCAGGATATAAATTTTTACTTGTAAATGTTTTATACTCTGCAGTATTGTCTTGGACTTGCCTAACGAATTATTCTCGGATTTCTTGTCGACGGCTGTAGCAGACCAGATATCCCCTGACTTGCTGCCCTGCTGCCCATCCATCCCCTCTACAATGTGGTCAGCAGGCTCGATGCCATCGCAGGATGTACCACTTCGGCCAGCCTGCTAAAAATAGCACAGATCTTTGCATCGCCTGAAGATTTCTGGGTTTTAAACTTCTTCAAACATGATATGATGCTTTTTGGGTGCATCTTTAGTCAGGACCTCGGCAGCAATCACCTTGCCATGAGCTCGTACCCTGCACTTTCAGTTTTGATGGTTGACATGAGATTGGGCGTCCCCAAAAGCAAACGAAATGCCGTGGCAACAGATGATGCCCGGGACGGTTCCGGCGTGATCCAACAACTACTTTTGCTTTCTGACTCCGCAAAGAAAAGCCCCCGTCAGCGTGATACAGCCTCGTGACTGCCAGAACTAGAGTCTTCCCGGACGACATATAACGAGCTTGCCCGGTATGTCCAATCAAAAACATGTAAAGTAGACCTATATTGTCGAGGATCGACACTTTTTCGCAGTATTGTATTTGAGACAGTTGGCTGTTGCTCCGCCTTGGGAGCGAGACCCATTTGCACAGTCTTTACACTTGCAACCAGCAAATACCGATCGCTCTTCCATCAAAAAGTCAAGTGCGCAAAATCTTGTGAATAGGATCCGTCTGGCAGTCTCTCCGTCTCAATCCTCGCCTGGTGATGTTGTAGGACAGTCAGCCAGAACCAGAAGACACGGACCCTTGAACAACGATGTGGGAACTTGTGACTCCCTTGCATCATGTTGTCTCAGTGAGAAGTCACGCATATTCAGTCTATAGATCATATCGTATACAATTACCTCTTTATAGCTCCCATGCCATTACTGCTTCTTGTGGATATTGTCATCCTTACCAGCAGCTCGTTTTTGCCATTATACACGCCGCCGCCCGGTCCTGCTCAGGCTCCCGTCTCGGAAGAGGAGAAATGAGATAAGTATTGGAGAGAATACAAGCGAAAAATATACAGACCATCGCCGCCACCAGCTTCGAAAACAAATAATCTGATCAATGAGAACTCTGGGGCGTCTCGGCCTCCGTGGAGACGAAGAGAAAGACAGCTGCCCCGGTCCTGTCACCCTATGTTCGGCCACAAATTCGAATCCAGGAAGGCCCGCATGGGATAGTGAAATATGCGTCAATATATCGAGAAAAGCATCTACTATCTTGTCAGTCACAAGGGTCATGTGGGATCGTCTCGCGTCAGCTGCCGGGATCGGTCATATCTAGCCGCCGCTGCAGGTTTCCCCGCAGAAGCGTAAGATATATAAGTCAAAAAATCGCCATCGTTCCAGATATCGGAGTTATGTTCGGAATCCAAATACATCAACACAGCGTGTGTGATTCAACAACTAATTCATCGAAGCGCCATGCGTCTGGTTGCTGCGATGCTGACCACTGCACTAAGCATCAGTGCCGCTCTATCGACACCACCGCTTCAGTACATTGACCTACCGTTGCTAAATGTCAACAGTGAGCTGAAGGGAGGTGTCAGTCCGGAGCTACCATATGAACCATTAGTTCTTCAAGAGGCACTGGACTTGGCTCGGGCTGCCCAGCTTCCGCCGACTAGATACAAAGCGCTGCTATGGCAGTATTGGATCGTGAATGCCACGCTGGACGCAAACATCTCTCTGCAAGACTGGGACCCCTGGCGCACAGCAAAGCAGAACAAGGACGTCGTCTTTGCTGTCTATAATTACTACACCAAGCTCTATCTGGGACATCCGGAGCAGCTGCGCTGGTTGGCGTTTGCCAACATGGCCGGTTCCGCATTTGCCGCGGGCATACTTGATCTCGGCGGTCTGCCCGGAGGCGGGTGGTTTGCATCCATGCTTATGGCCATGCAGAAACACATATTCATGGGCATTGCCACCATGCAGGTGGCATACATCAATGGCGGCCTGGCGGCAGTGGAGGAGATGCGAGATGCTGGACTAATTGACCGCGAGACGGCAGCGGCATGGGCCAACCCATCTGCCGCGGTGATGCAAATCTGCTATCGCGAGCAGAATCTGGTTATACCGGAGCAATGGAACCGCCTACGCGACCATGCGCCGCCTTTGGGTAGATTCATCACTTACGGCATGACTATTGCTGGCCCAATGCCGGTGCCTGGCGCAAAGACACCGGCCCAGTACAAGAAGCTGCTGTGTGGACCGCTGCCTGCATTCAACATTGCAGATCAGAAAGCACGCTGGGATTTTCTGGCCCATGACACGGTGCCGGCGTACCTGCGCCTTGACCCGTCAACGGTAAAAAGCATCGTGAGCGAGTCGTTCAGTGAACGGGTCAACAAGTATCGAACCACGCACCGCTTGGGCGACATTGTGCGCGCGCAGATCAAAGCTACAGGGTGCCATACTTGAGCGACACAGTGGCGACAAAGTTCACGTCAGGCGAGGGAACCAGCTGCAAGGGGATTCGGTCATGTTACGTTGTATTCATTCAATGTCTTCTTTCGCTATTTTGGAAATCGTTCTAGTCAACACATATCCACGGCGAGGGCTGACGGAGCTACTATAACACGGTTAGAAGAGAGACCCAATTCAAGTGGTGCAAGAAAGTGTGTTTCGAGGAATAAATCAGAAAAAAGAGAAACATGTTCTTCTACATTGTATTTCGGAACAGGTCTGTGTAATGTGTTGTTCATCACGTTGTGAGAGGAAGGACTGAGAGCAGAGAAAGATAAGACCTACCGATGGTTCAGGCAAATCGTAGCAGATCTACGAATGCCGTCGATGCTGATGGTTAGTTTGATACTGTGTTGTGTTGAGGTAAAAGAAGAACATTTTTTTGGGGAGGTTTGTGGTGGGCCTTTAAGTACCTCGCCAGATTCGGGGTCGTCGGCGAGTCGGCGCACTTGGTTCCGACAGTGGGCAACGGGAGCATCAATAATTAGATGGCGGGGCATGGGTTTTCCAACTTTGGCTGTCTATTATCCACGAACTAATCACAGGCTGCCGGATAATACAGTGGTGGTCGATGGGTATGAATATTCGCCGTTTGAGTTCGCATTCTCGAAAAATACGAAAAATAAAAGGCGCGGCTCAGTCCACAAAGGCAGCGAAGAAATAACCGCGCAACAAATACGAGGGTTCCTTCGTCACAGGCTTACCAAGTGACTGTTCTGCCGTCTTGCGTGGGTACGCCGAATTTCGTAGCAGTTCTAATGTTCTAGTGTCAAGAGTTGTATACTACCAATGCAATAACCTTGACAACGTATACCTATGAGGTGCATTTTGATGCACGGGGAGAACATCTACGTGCCTGCCCGGCCGTTCCAAGTCATAATATCTGGTTTCACTTGTAGACTGACCGCGGCGGCAGAAACTTGACTACGGAAATGTCCTGCGAGATGCATGATGCAGGAAGTGCAAATGTACCTTTGTTTGCATGAGACTAAAAGCTCGTCCTTGGCATACCTACGCTCTCTGCTGCGTACTCGAAAGCAATTGCATTGCCAGCGTTTAACGGGTTCGATTCCAGGACCCCTATTCCACTCAGCGATGCTTATTAGGGTCAGGAATATTCCCACCAAAGCAGCCGGCATGGCTACTCAAGTGCTGTTGCGAATTCATACAAGAGCCAATTTGAGCAGACAAGAGAAATGCTTGATTCTTCACGCGTGGCTTGCATAATGGCATCACCAACTTTGACCAGTGCTCGGACGGGCCAGCCACAGCGCCAACAGCTAGCGGCGCTGCAGCCCGTATTCCCTGGTTTGGCCCTGATTAGTACCTACCTTACCTAGGTAGGCGAAAATGCCACCTGTAAAAACTAAAGACAGCCTAAAAACAAGGGCACCCAAGTCTGCCAAGGGTCGCAGTCGCCCAGCAATTCTTCCCAACCGCCGCCCTCCTTCTCAATCCTTACGTCACGAGACCTTGCCGCCTTGGTAACCGCTCTTGGCTCTCTCCATGGCCGCCGTCTGAAAGCCATTCTTCAACACTTAGCGCTGTGCGATTGTCGCTGTTCGTCGCGCAGCTTCTTGTACTCACCATGGCGGATTATACCCCCGAGCTCGACTCTCAGCTACGGCACCTCCAGCGTGAGCTCGAGGTAAGTCACGAACCGTCCCGCGCCGCACACTCTTGTCAACATCTGCTGACATGCAACCTTACAGGAGGGCGATATTACAGAAAAAGGGTGAGCGAACCCGAGACGCCTAGGAATGAAGCCTTGCGTCAGCATCTAACCAACTCTCCAGCTTCCAAAAACGACGAACACTGCTCTTTTCCCAGTACGGCCCTCCGCCCGTCCCGCCGCCACAATCTGGCCTCCGAATTCATTCCGTCGACAACTCCTCCCACCCCGCCAACGATGGTCACAGGGTAGCTGCTATGGCTGCCATGGGAGGTGGTGTTGCGCCTCGTCCCGGCAGCAGCTATCACCACCCAGACGACCCTCCGTACTCGCCCAGCTCCTGGGCTCCGACGCCCGACCACAACCCTTCCACGCTGCGCCCTGGCGTCCCGATACCAGATATCCGCCCGCCAGGGCCGACACACCGTGACTCCCTGTTTGTCCTCGGTCCTGGAGGCACAATGGGTCCGTCGCGAAGCGGAACCATGGTGTCTGGCGACTATGCCTTTAACCCCGACCAACAAGGCTTTTACCCTCATTCACAACCGCCCCCTCCAGACAGCAGAACCCACACACTACTCGACTCTCAGGGCTATTTCTCTGATTTTGCTGGCGAGCAACACTATGACCATCCCCAGCAAGTCGACTACGCCGGTCCCCAGAATCGATATTCTTCCGGTGAAGCTTTCTCTCCCACAGCCGCAGTGGCCCCGCCTATGCTGACTGCCAGCGACCTCCCACCACCCGAGGCGCTTGCTTATCAGCTGCCATTGGAGCCTCGCGAGGTCCCCTTCAGCATAATGGATTCTCACGATCCTACCCTGGCCATGTCCAAGTTCGACAACCTTGCCTCCGTGCTACGGCATCGCGGCCGAACAATTGCAAAGACACCTGCATTCTGGGTACTCGATAGCAAAGGCAAGGAAACAGCCTCCATCACGTGGGATAAGTTTGCTTCTCGAGCCGAAAAGGTGGCTCAAGTCATACGAGACAAAAGTTCTCTTTACCGCGGCGACCGAGTTGCACTCGTCTACCGAGACTCCGAAGTCATCGACTTTGCCATTGCTCTCATGGGCTGCTTCATCGCGGGTGTCGTAGCAGTGCCCATCAATGACTTGCAAGATTACCAGCGTCTCAACTACATCCTTACCTCGACGCAGGCTCATCTCGCACTGACGACGGACAATAACTTGAAGGCTTTCCAACGGGAAATTACAGCGCAAAAGCTTACCTGGCCTCGCGGCGTCGAGTGGTGGAAGACGAACGAGTTTGGAAGCTACCACCCAAAAAAGAAAGAGGATATACCCGGTCTCAATGTTCCCGACCTCGCGTATATCGAGTTCTCGCGAGCTCCTACCGGCGATCTGAGAGGAGTTGTGCTCAGCCATCGCACTATCATGCACCAGATGGCAACTCTCAGTGCTGTCATTTCCAACATGCCTGGCAGTAATCCGGGAGATACCTTCAATCCGTCGCTCAGAGACAAGAATGGTCGTCTTATTGGTGGTCGTTCTCGTAGCGAGTCTATTCTTTCCTATCTCGATCCTCGACAAGGGATTGGTATGATCCTCGGCGTCTTGCTTACAGTATATGGTGGCCACACTACAATCTGGTTCGATAACAAAGCTGTCGATGTGCCTGGTTTGTACGCTCACTTAATCACCAAGTACAGAGCGACAATCATGGTTGCCGACTACCCAGGCTTGAAGCGAGCCGCATACAACTACCAGCAAGACCCAATGACGACCAGAAACTACAAAAAGGGCACAGAGCCTAATTTCCAAACAGTCAAACTATGTTTGATCGATACCCTGACAGTCGATAGCGAGTTTCACGAGGTACTCGCAGATAGATGGTTGCGGCCGCTTCGCAACCCCAGAGCGCGCGATGTCGTCTCACCCATGCTTTGTCTCCCAGAACACGGAGGTATGGTTATCAGTCTGCGAGACTGGCTTGGTGGTGAGGAGCGAATGGGCGTTTCACTCAAGGCAAAGGGAGCCGAATCCGAGAAAGACGTAGATTCGGACGCCAGTAGCGAAAAAGAAGAAGTAAAGCCAGCCACTTCTAATGGGTTTGGCAGTTTGCTTGGCGGAGGAACCACAACGACCAAGGATTCACAAGATTCTCAAACGGAGATGAACGAAGTACTTCTTGATCGCGAGGCACTCAAGACAAACGAAGTGGTTGTGGTTGCATATGGGGCAGAAGCTCGTAAGAAAGGCTCCAATGACCCGGGTATGGTTCGCGTCGGAGCGTTCGGTTATCCTATTCCAGATGCTACCCTAGCCATTGTTGACCCTGAAACTGGTCTACTTGCCTCCCCGCACTCGGTGGGCGAGGTTTGGGTGGACTCCCCTTCACTATCTGGCGGGTTTTGGGCTCAACCTAAGAACACAGAGCTCATCTTCCATGCCCGTCCGTACAAGTTTGATCCAGGTGAGCCCACACCTACGGCTGTGGAACCCGAGTTCCTTCGAACCGGCCTTCTCGGGACTGTGATCGAGGGCAGAATCTTCATACTTGGCTTATACGAGGACCGTATTCGACAAAAGGTCGAATGGGTAGAGCACGGAACCGAATTGGCCGAGTACCGCTACTTTTTTGTACAGCACATGGTTGTCAGCATTGTGAAAAATGTCCCCAAAACATACGACTGCTCTGCATTCGACGTTTTTGTCAACGATGAACATCTGCCTGTGGTGGTTTTGGAAACTGCTGCCGCGTCGACGGCACCTCTTACTTCCGGTGCCCCTCCCAGACAGCCAGACATGGCACTTCTGGATTCGCTAGCCGAACGGTGTATGGAGGTGCTGATGCAGGAACATCATCTTCGACTTTACTGCGTGATGATTACAGCACCAAACTCATTGCCTCGCGTACTGAAGAATGGGAGACGCGAGATTGGCAACATGTTGTGTCGCCGCGAGTTTGATCTTGGAAATCTGCCTTGCGTACATGTCAAATTCGGTGTGGAGCATGCTGTTCTCAACTTGCCAATTGGCGTTGACCCGATCGGCGGTATTTGGTCTCAAGTGTCTTCAGAGTCTCGTGAGGATGTGCTCATGACCTCTGAGAAGCAGTATTCCGGCATCGATCGACGAGAGGTTGTCATCGACGACAGAACCTCTACGCCGCTGAATAACTTCTCCTGCATTACTGATCTTATCCAGTGGCGTGTTGCTCGCCAGCCCGAAGAGCTAGCTTACTGCACCATAGATGGGAGGGGTCGTGAAGGCAAGGGCATTACTTGGCGCAAATTTGATTCAAGAGTCGCTGCCGTGGCCATGTATCTGAAGAACAAAGTCAAAGTACAGCCAGGGGATCACTTGATCCTCATGTACACTCACTCTGAAGAGTTTGTTTTCGCGGTGCACGCGTGCATCAGCCTCGGCGCTATCATTATACCAATCGCACCTCTGGATCAAAACCGATTGAATGAGGACGTTCCCGCTTTCCTCCATATTGTGGCCGATTACCGAGTTAGGGCTGTGCTAGTCAACAATGATGTCGATCATCTCATCAAACTCAAGCCAGTCTCTAGCCACATTAAGCAATCAGCGCAGATACTCAAAATCTCCATTCCCAGTCACTACAACACGTCAAAACCATCCAAACAGAATAATGGTCTCCGAGACTTGGGCCTGACTATTGATCCTGCGTGGATCCGCCCTGGCCATCCGGTCATCATTTGGACATACTGGACCCCAGATCAGCGCAGAATTGCTGTCCAACTTGGTCATGACACAATCATGGGCATGTGCAAGGTTCAGAAGGAGACGTGCCAAATGACCAGTACGAGACCTGTGCTCGGCTGTGTCCGCAGCACGACCGGTCTTGGCTTTCTTCATTCATGCCTGATGGGCATCTATATTGGAACACCGACGTACTTGTTATCACCAGTTGAATTTGCACAGAATCCAATGTCACTATTTGTTACTCTGGCCAGGTATAAGATCAAAGATACCTACGCCACAGCGCAAATGCTCGACCACGCCATGGCCACGATGCAAGCCAAGGCGTTCACCTTGCATGAATTGAAAAACATGATGATCTCATCCGACACTCGGCCTCGAGTTGACATTTTTGAAAAGGTCCGTCTGCACTTTGCTCAGGCTGGACTAGACCCGACAGCCATCAACACGGTATACTCTCACGTTCTCAACCCGATGATTGCATCTCGGTCATACATGTGTATTGAGCCCATTGAACTTTGCCTTGATACAAAGGCTCTGCGAAGAGGTCTCATCATGCCCGTCGACCCCGAGTCAGACCCGAAGGCGCTTACCGTACAAGACTCCGGGATGGTGCCCGTTTCAACTCAGATTGCCATTGTCAATCCAGAGAGCAGAGCTCATTGCTTAGATGGTGAATATGGCGAAATTTGGGTTGATTCGGAAGCATGCGTCAAGTCATTTTATGGTTCCAAGGACTTTTTCGATGCTGAACGCTTCGACGGCCGCACGGTGGATGGTGATCCTGCTGTACAATATGTACGCACGGGCGATCTGGGCTTTCTGCATAACGTTAGTAGGCCAATTGGACCCGGTGGCGCACTTGTTGACATGCAGGTGCTCTTCGTTCTGGGTGGTATTGGTGAGACATTCGAGATCAATGGTCTCAGTCATTTTCCCATGGATATTGAATCCTCAGTGGAGAAGTGCCATCGTAATGTTGTACCCAATGGCTGGTAAGTTGTGCTCGAGTCTATCTGTTGATCGATGCTAATTCTCAAAGTGCTGTTTTCCAAGCTGGCGGTCTGGTTGTTGTCCTTGTTGAAGTCAACCGCAAAGCCTATCTGGCTTCCATTGTGCCTGTGATTGTCAATGCGATCCTTAGCGAGCATCAGATCATCGTTGACATTGTTGCTTTTGTCAGCAAGGGTGACTTCCCACGGTCGCGGCTAGGTGAGAAGCAACGTGGCAAGATTCTTGCTGGATGGGTTACTCGCAAACTGCGTACCATGGCCCAATTTGCGATCCGTGATGTTGATCCAGCCGCCATGGGCGATGGCCCGGGTCCTGATGAGGGTAGAAACTCAACGGGGAGTGTGCGCAGCTCGGCTATATTGGCAGCCGGAGCATCGAGCCTCCGCAATGTCGAAAGAGCTCCTCAAATCTCCGAGCATGGAGAGTATGATGCCCGGTACAATACCATGTCCACCACGTCTCCCCCAAGACATAGCATGATCCCCGAAGATCAGACAACTCCGACAAGCTACCCGCCTAGAGGGTCGATGGCCGCACCGGACGACTTGCAGCAGGCTGAGAGGTTAAACACTGGTGCTAGTGACTACGGACTTATGGGCAATGATGATGCCGCTCGAGGCACCTTTATCTCTGAGCTTGATTCTACACCGGCCGTGCGTCGTGATGCAGGTCATGGGGCTCCGCAGATAAGGCTGCCTGGAGTAGACGGCCGAGAAAGCACGGATCTATTTGCGGCCCCGACGAGCGGGCTTGCAGATGACGAAGCAGAGTGGACGGCCGACGCAATCATGCATATGAACCTTGCCAGTGATATGGACGCTCGACAAGGCGTGGCCAAATGAGCGCGTGCTGAGACATGCATGATGATGGAGTGGCAGCGTGTTGTTTTGGTCTTTAGTTGAGGAGTTTCTTCCAAAACGGAAGATGGAAAAGTAGGGTTTGTTGGCGTAGCCCAGTCATGTTGGAAATCCCCATGAGCATAGACTACGATGAGTATTTTTGGAATACCTTTTTTTCTTTTTTTTTTCCTTGCTGGTCTTTTGTTTGCGGCAGATGTTTTTTCCCTCTATGTTGCTGTTCTTGAGCGCTGATTTTTGTGCCTTTTTGCACGAATATATATTATATATACCAGCGGCCATTTTAGACAGGCAGGGTGAAAAAAAAAAATGTAAATAAAATTGGTATCTTAAAAAATACATCCTCGTGTGAGTAAAAAATGGTTCTAATAAGCCAAGCGCCCAAACTCCTGTTTAAATGTGTGCTTTGATTGTTGGTCATCTTGGCAGTCCTACCCCTTCCAAGATGGGATTTCATCCTCTCTTTCCATCTCCAGACGAAATTTGGCGGCCCCCGCTGCTACCGGGAAACGGGCGCACAATCGAGCTCGTAGCGCTGCACCTGGAACTCGCGGGCCACCTGCTGCTGCTGCTGCTGCTGCGGCGGCGGCGACGATGACGCGGCGCTCGGCGTGTACAGCTCCTGGGACGCGTCGGCCGGCGTGGACAGCTCCTGAGATACGGTAGTCGGCGTAGGCAACTCCTGGGACGCGGTGGTCGGCGTGGACAGCTTCTGAGACATGGTGTTCGGCGTAGGCAGCTCCTGAGACGCGGGGGTCGGCGTGGGCAGCTCCTGGGACGCGGTGGACGGCATGGGCAGCTCCTGGGGGTGGTGGTAACCGACGCTGTAATGAGCGTGGCCGTCGTCGGCGTCGGCGTCGGGAGGCTGACAGTGTAGCTCGGACAGATTGCTCTCGGTGTCGGCGGGCGACAGCGATTTGTTTGCGTGAGAGGTGGTAGCGGTAGCGGTGGCGGTGATGGAATTGTTGGGGCGGTAGCGGCGCCAGAGGAGGAATGCGAAAAGGGCGAGGGCGACAATGGCAAGACCGACGCCGATGCCGATGCCGACTTGCGTGCCGGTGGAGAGGCCGCCGCCGCCGCCGCCGCCGCCGCCACCACCACCACCGCCGCTGCTACCGCCGCCGCCGCCGCCGCCTCCGCCGCTGCTGATGCTGATGCTGCCGTCGCTGCCGATGTTGACGCTGCTGCCGCCACTGCCGCCGCCGCTGCTGCTGCTGCTACTACTGCTACTTCCACCCGCCATCGCTCTCGGATCCGCTGTCGGTGCAGCCGCTGCTATCGACCCTGTGCCGGTAGGTGACTACATACAGTTTTTGCATTAGCTTCAATGCCGGCTTTGCGCGGCAAGGTACCTCTTTTTTTTGTTTGCCATGTTCCACGTACAATTGTGTGAATGGTTGAATACTCAATTGCATTGACGGCTTGCGCACTCGTCATGTACCATTTCTGCGATTTCTCGCCATCATCATCATCATCGTCGTCGTCGTCGTCGTCGTCGTCGTCTTTCGCCGTGTCACCATTCATAAACGGCGGATTCCCCTTGTGCACGTCCAGCCAGAAGCGGGTGCCGTTGGCCGCGTTGATGAGCCGCAGCCCATTCTTGGACATGTCGCTGCCCCACTGGTCGATCTGCCAGACCTGCGCCGCGTCGGCGCCGTCGGCAGCGGCCATGCAAAGGCCCGTCTGGCCGGGGGCCGGCTCCGTCTCGTTGTGGCACGCGGAGAGCTGCTTGGCGGCGCCGTCGCGCGAGTTGCGGAGGACGAAGAAGCGTGGGGCTGATGACGACTCTTCGGAGGAGGTGTCGTTGAGAGGTTGAAACTGCCAGTAGCAAGGAGGAGTGGTGTTGGGCTAGTTGTTTTTGACAGAGAGTGAGGAGGCAAGTGTTAGTTTGTTGAGGTAGGAAATTAGGGGAGGAGGAGCCAAGCGTGCGTACCGAGACAATTAGACCAGAAGACGATGAGTCGACCTGCAGCATGTTGGAAAACCTTCTGCCGGCCCTGTCAACGCGGCCTTCGGTGACGTGATACCAGGCATTGCTATTGATGCCGGAGACAGGCCTGATCTTGCGCCTGTTCCCCATGATGAAAGCTTGCGTCGAGCTATTTTTTTTTTTTTTTGCACGCAGTATCCGTATCCGTAATTGCTGTCCAAAAAACTTCTCGGTGGGCAAGGTCCCAAGTTGAAGTGGAAATTCTTGCGCAGAGGAAGAAAAGCCGACTTCTCCTTCGCAGTCGCAGAAGCAATCGAAGAGAACGGGATGAGAAGAATGGGAGGAAACAAGAAAAAGTTTTATTGTTCCAGCTTCATAGCCCCCCCGCGAGGGAGAAAAGCTTCCGCCCTTTCTCCATCAATCCTTGAACACAGGCCATTCTTGCTCGCGGTGGAGTTTTGATAATAGATGCTCGTTGAAAGGCCCACGGGCCATGAAGGTTATTAAATTAGAAACACGCAACCCGCCAGGTTTGTTACTGAATCCTTCCTTCAGAGCGAGCCCCTGTGGGCAAAAAAAAAAAAAGAAAAGCTTATTTGGCCTGCTTTCCCACTCGTTGTCCTCCATGCAGTTTTTGGATGACCTTGCCCATCTTCTCACGGGCTGTCGTCCTCATCCTTTCGTTTCCGGTACGTGCTCCGCGGCTTGCCGTTTCCGAATGTAAAGTGTCTCTCGAAAAGCCACTTGCCGAGAAGTGCCACGGGTCTTGGCGTGTGGCATGACCGGCCGTGGATCGACGCTGATGAGTCGAAGTTGCTGGGTTCGGGAATATGTGGCTGGTGATATAGGTTAACTTTTTAGTCTGCCTCTGCCGTGGCTCGCCGTATTAACGCGTGACGGGCCTATGGCATTGACCCGTAGTTAATTAATTATAGTTATATTTAACTAGCGCAAACAGTGGAGAGGCTCCAGGAGGCGCGGCGCTGTCTCGGCTCCGCCAGAGAATTATCAGCCCTGTCACGCTGAAATCCTACATAGGGGGTTCCCCGTACCACGATGCTGGCCGCCTCGAGTTAGATTTCTCGACACAATAACATCATGTGTCATGTTCGAGATGAGAAAAGATTTGTGGTTTCATAGGTATGTTTCATAGGTATGTCATGTACGTTTATCTAGACAGGCTAACCTTGAAAGGAGTACCTCTACGCTATTCGTCTTATTTCTGCATGTCGTCAAGTGCGCGTTTGACAATCGCCATGGCCTCGGCCGACACGTCGTGACCTCTTCGCCATGTATACAGCATAACGCCGAGCTGTTCTAGCTGCTCGTGCGCTCTTGCCACACGCCGCCGCCACATGTCCTGCTTCTTGTTGACGCCGCCCTGCGCGCCAATGGTCGGCGAGCCCGACGGCGTCACGGCGCCGGATCGCGAGCCCGACCGGTAGTACGAAAGGCCCGCCGCAGCCGGCACCGGGTTAGCGGCCGGCGGCAGGGGCTCAAAGTCGACATCCGAGTTGACGCGGTTCTGGCTAAATAGGCGCGGGCTCAGGTTGCGCAAACTCGCTGGCCCGCGGCGTCGCGGAAGCGGCGGTGCAATGTCGGGTGAGGAGGGTGCAGTTTTGTCCCCGAATTCGCTCGTCGTCTTGGACGAGGAGCGTCTGGACAGATTGGGGCGGGAGAATATAGGTTCCGTGGTCTTGACGCGTGGCGGTTTCGGGGGAGGGACTTCAGCAGCATAACCGCTAGCGCCGCCGGTGCCCGAACCCGCCGCGTCTTTTTTGCTCATCGTCGACGAGGCCCCTCGAAGCGCTGCCGGCTTGGCAGGGCGCGGCGGTGGGGCCTTGCGATTAAGCATGTCTATTGCCGATACTGGCTTTTTGTTGCGCACTTGAGCGAGACCAGCAGCGTCATCTATTTTCGCGTCCTCAGGTTTCTCCGAAAAGTCAATCAGAGTGCCCATGGCAGGGCCCGCTGGGGATTTCTCCTCGATTGGAGAGACAACCGGTGCAGAGTTAAGACGCGGCTTGCCGTCATCCACTGCGAGGCTACCAAATCTCTTCCTCGTTAAATCGTAAGATGCATCAAAGTAGCCAGGACGCTCTGTCGTGGTGACATCACGGATAAAGATGGCCAAGATACGGCCTGGATTCGCAACAGCCAGGTCCGTGTAGACTTCCAAGTCGGCCTCTCCGCTGTCTCCCACCAGTAAAAACTTGCGGTCAGGGAAATCACGAAGCAGCCTCGTCAGGGTACCCTTTTTGCGTTCAGCGACCGGCTCAAAGATGCCCTGCAACATGCCAGAGTACTGCTTGAGATGGAGAGAGCCAGGTGGCAGACCGCCGAGTTTGAAGAAGCTCGCAAGCACCGGAAACAGCTGCCAAGGACTATTTGAGCAGTAATGAAACTTGACACCATGCTTGTGCATGTCCGTGTACCATTCTTGCACGCCCTCCACGGTCAGATCGCGAAGCTCGCGGATAAATGTGTTGCGAAATATTTCGCGCGCACCGCTGGCAATGTTTGACTTTTTGACCGTGTCATCAATGTCACTGATGAGACTGACGCCTATTGGCTCTGTAATTGCGACTTGTTGTGTAGCAGACAAGTCTTCGTTCCCCAGAACTCTGACGTGCGTAGGGACAAAGTCCAGTGCTGCCCGAATGTTAAAGTGACCAGCATCATCGGTCAGGACAGTCCGCGATTGCGACTGAGTATCGTTGTAGAAGAATATCGTAATCGGAAGGCCAATGAGGGGGTTAGTCATGAATGGGGCGATGCGAGCCATGAGATTGGCATTGGCCAGGACGAGTTCGGCCTCGGAAAGCTCGTTGACATTGGCCTGTCTGGGACCAAACAGCGGACTTGCTGGTGCCGACTCTGGTGTTTGGCTACCTCGGCGACGGGATCGGCGCGAGTACAAGGGTTCGGACGGAAGAGAACTGCCACCGAAGGGGTCTTCGCTATATCCTCCAGCACCAGCTATTTGCTTTTCCTGGCGACCCTTCCGTTCGATATTGGCGGCCTCTTGATCAATCTTTTCTTGCTCTCTCTGCTCTTCGTGGACCTGGTGATGGGTTGGCGGTGCATCGGTGGTGGGATCGGTACTGTTCGCTTCGCCGCGGGGAGCGGGGACGCCGCTGAGTTGACGCGCGAGTCCAATGAGAATGCGGTTCCGTCTGCTCATTGGACCGACGTGCGGATTATATATCCAACCTCTGACATCGACATCGGCGATTGCTCGCTCGTCTTCGTGTCTATCAAACTCTTGCCGCCAGTAGTCCTCGTCACGTATTGGGCCATCTTGCTCTTGGGCCAGATTCTGTGCCTGGACTGTGGACCAATCGCGTTTGGTGTGGCGTTTCGCATACGAAGGGAACAGCACAAGGTGCTCGTCGCCCTGTACCGTAATGGCGGCGTCGGGGAACGCACCGGGGATGTGCATGTTGCTGCGGTTGTCGTCCTCTGTGTCGGCCATTCTGGCTCGTGTCTGGACATACGATTCGCGCATGTCGCTGACAGCCTGCTGTCCGGTACGATACAGACTTCCGGCCATTTCTGCCAATTTCCTTCGCCGATATCCTCTTTCGCCCTGCCCTGGTTGCGCATCGTCGCTTCCCATGGCGGACATTTTCTTCTGCCTTGTTATGACTCGCACTCGCCTCTCGGCACTACTCCCATCGCTGATTGTGGCTGTACGCTGCTGATGCTGAGGGGTAGCGGCGAGTCGTCCAGACGGCCCCAGGTGCTGGCTGCGTTTAGCGAGCAGACCTGCAATGCGCTCTCTTTCAATGCGGCGAGATTGACGTCTGAGTAAGTATCGGTAGATGCGCGATTGTAGTCCGTCCTTGACGGCCATCGAGGGTGGAATTGCGCGAGGTGGTCGTGGTGTCTGTGACGCAGATTGGCGGGGATAGCTCGTCGTAGTACTAGCCTTGCCTACCTAGGTAGCAGCAGTTGTGGGCGCATGCACGGCAGTCGAATTGGCAAAATGGCTTAAATAGATTATACTTGCAAACTATTAATTCTATTGACTTTGGGCGATTCCAGGTTAGGTCGATAGCCTAATAAAAGTATATATATTGTAAAATAATACGGATAATCATTTAGCTATCCTAGCGAGCTCGTATAGGCTATAACTTGAAGGTTCCAAACAAAAGTAGGAGCAAATTAAGCTACCTAATCAGAGATGCGGTGCCTGAGGCATGAGTCCTGCTTCGTTCAACAATTTATCTCGAGATAAATTTTGCATCCATGCTGTTTACACGCAAACCACCTCCGAATTTGGTCTCGTGGAAGTTTCATGCGACGATTCCTCATCACGCCTCCATGTTTCTCACACCTTCATCATCAAATAGCAGTGGATCGTTTCCCGATGTCACAGGGATATTGTGCGGGCACATCATTATGGGCTGCTGGTAGGGTAGCTTCATGAGCGCAGCCGCGGTACTTTGAGCTTTTATAATTGCATTCGGACTATAATAACTATAATCAGACTTCTAAATCACTCTTCTGCCTCAAAATTGGTGAGATTACATAGAGTAACTGAGTTTCACAACAATTCAGGACTTCCGCGATAAGCACCTTTGCCTAGCAGCGATGAATGACGCATATTTCTTTCACCCTATCAGACTCCCCAGTCCTCAATACGTACTCTGGGCATTCTCTAGTTTCCTCATTATTAGCTTTTGCATGGCATTCATTTCCTGGCGTGTGATTGACCTGGTTGCACAGAGGATCATATACCCTAGCGCACGCAGATGCAAGGGTCGCTGTTAGACATAGGCCTCACATTCCACACATTTGACACCAGACGACTATGTCAGCAGATATTCGATACCACTCCGACAATACGACATGCAAATGTCAAAATGGCTCTCGGTTCAACCAGAAATGAACACATTTTTTGCCAACTTCCAAGTATATGCATCATGTACACTAAAACGCCGTGCTCCGTCAACATCTCATGCTGCCCTTCTTCACTTGCGTCCGCTCGACTTGCCCTTCTTTCCCTTTGGGCCTCCCTTTTGGCTCTGCTTTGTCTTTGCATTCAACGCATCCGTCTTGCCCTTCCTCCATCCCATGCCCTCTGCTCGCTCCGCCTTGTTGTCCAGTCGCTTCCTGACCTTGTTGCTGACCTTGCCCAACAACTTCTTCTTCGACCCCTCGCGCGCACCGTTCAGCTCAGCCTTGCCAGCCTCCTTGGCCTTTTTCTTGTCGTGCTCCGTCTCAAACCACGTTCGCTTGGGGCGCGACTTGATCTCGAATTCGTGCTCAATCATGTTTTCTCCCTTTCTGACCTGCATTTCTGCGTTTGCAAACTGTTTCTCTTCCTTTTCTTCCTGCATGATCTCCTTAATCTCCCGCTGCATACCATCAATCTGGGCCTGCAACTTGTCTGCCTTTTCATTCTCTATGACGCGACTCGTGATCTTAGCCCCTTGGGCTTTGCCTGCCTTGACTGCAGCCTTGACAACCTTTCTGTCAGATTCAGCAGCCAGCGTCAAAGCCACGCCTTTGCGGCCGGCACGGGCTGTACGACCGACTCTGTGTACGTAAATTTCCAGCGACTGCGGTGCTTCGTAATTGATGACTGTGTCGACGCCCTTGATATCCAGACCACGAGACGCCAGGTCGGTCGCGAGGAGGTAGTTGACCTTGCCATCTCGGAAAGCTTCTACGCTTTCAATACGCTATCCAATGTTAATACATCAAAGACAGAAAGTTTTGCATCGCATGGAAACTTACTCCTGTCTGGCTCATGCTACCGTGAAGCTCCGCACAAGTCATTCCTAAAATACCAAAAATGATACGGGCTTCATGAGCATCCTTCTTTTGGCGAAAGAAAATTATGACTCTTTCTGTGTATAAAGTTTTGCAGATGTGTGCCAAGTAGCCCATACGCTTGTTTTCTCGACCGGGACGCAGGCGAACAAATTCTTGCACCAGCGTGCCCACAGTCCTCTTTTGCGAGTCAACCATGACTCTGGCGGGCTTGTTCATTCCAACACGGATAAGTCTATCAACAGTTGACGTCATGGTCGCAGAGAACAGCATGGTCTGGCGAGATTTGGGCAAAGTGGTTAGAATCTCGTTCAGTTCGTCGGCGAAACCGTCTTCCAACATTCGATCGGCTTCATCAAGTACAAGAATCTCGACAGTGTCGATAGGAAAGCTGGCCGAGTTGCGCATGTGATCAATAAAGCGACCAGGCGTAGCGATAATAACATCGGGACGGAGACGGAGCTCAGCTTCTTGGACTTTCAGGCTAAGACCTCCAACAGCCAGTGTGAACTTGATGTCGGTGTGCGCCGCCAGTTTGGTAGCGACAGCGTGACACTGGATTGCCAATTCACGAGTCGGCGTAAGAACGACAACTCGGGTCGTGGGTACTTTCTTGGGTCTGTAAAGCAGTCGCTCAAGAATAGGAATGATGAAAGCGCCCGTTTTGCCAGAGCCAGTGACGGCTCCGCCGACAAGATCCTTGCCCATCAGAGCTATGGGTATGGTCTTGGCCTGAATCGGGGTGGGCTTAGTGAAACCGACATTGGTAAGACCGCGAAGAATTGGGCGAGAAAGAGACATGGCTTGAAAAGAAGAAACTCTTTCATCCTTTCCGCCCTTGGGCTTCTCTTCTGGAGCAAAGAAAGCAGCGCGCTTGGCTTCTTCCTCGGCATCAGCTTGGTCGCTGGCGTCGGATACGTCGTCATCGTCGGGATGGGCCTCCGGCGTGGCCACAGAATCGTTGTCTGACGCATCGCCCTCCTCATCCTCGTCATCTGCTTCCTTGTCACCATCCTCTTTGTCTTCCTCATCTTCCTCTGACCCCAGGTCAACATGCATGCCGAATGCGTCATCGGCAAGGACCTCATCGTCACCATCGTCCAGTTCCATGCTATCCTGGACTGGATCTTCTTCGTTTCCGTCCTCGTTTTCGTGGTCTGAAGGGACTTCGCCCTTTCGTTCTTTTCTTCGTCGAATGATCGCATCAATGTCCACCATCTTCTTGTTCATATTCATGCTTTTTCTAGCACCGTCGAAACCCCAACCCTCGAATTCTTCCTCGCCAAGGTCGCCGGCATTGTCCGCCATGAATTCAAACTCGGAGTCCATGGCGCCATCATCATCATCTTTTTGGCCCCAGATCCCGTCCACTTCCTGATCCTCATCTGCCGATACATCGTTGGCTTTGGAAGCTTTCTTTGCTTTTTTAGTCGTCTTGGATTTCTTCTTGGGTGGCTCGGTCAGCATCACTTCCTCCTCGGCGACAAATTCCTCGTTGTCCGATATCGTGTGGATAAAATCATCCTCGACTGGTTTTCTCTTTTGTGCGGGAGCCATTTTATCTGTGAGAAAGTATATTTCCGAATGCTGTCAAATCAGGCGCACCTCGAGACCAGACAAGATTTACGGCCTTCACAAGTACTGATAATTTTCTGCCGCTTTGAAAATTTTGGCGGTGAATCGAGCTTTCCACATTCTGCCACTTCAGGACGGCTTGCGGTGCCTGGAGGGGTCCTGGATGCTGCACGTGATCCACAGCCAGTTTGCACTTTTTGCTTTGGCGGTGCTAGTTAACGTTAGACGGTGGATCACGTCCATTGGTTGATTGGCCGACCAGTAAAGCCGGTCGCTTTCAATGCGCCCCTGGCGCGTACTCCATACCTAGCTAGGTACAACAAATTGATTAATCTCACGAGCAACCATTGTTTCCCTGCTGCCTGTTGCCACCAATTCCCCCAAAGGAGCATTTTACATACAGGGCAGCTTGATATCCCCAACGCCATTTCGAGTCTCGTTTTTCGCATATCAGGTTTCTTTCAGCGTTATCGTCTCCAAGCCCTCCGACCCGACATCCAACGCACTGCAAACAGGACACCATGGGCGAATCTCGGTAGGCTTCACCGCAGCTTCGGCTTGCGCGCCATGGAAGCCCCGCGAACAGAACTGACGGCTTCGATAAACATAGGCAAGAACTCGTTCAGTGGTTGAATAACCTGCTCCAGCTCAACATCACCAAAGTCGAGCAATGCGGCACCGGGTACGTAGCAAACGCTTTTTTACCCCTCCCCCGCTTCATATTGCGAGCGACGAGCTACCGCCACAACGTCAACGGCGAGCGACTAACATCACCATAGCGCTGCTCTCTGCCAAGTCTATGACAGTATATACATGGATGTGCCTATGCACAAGGTTAAGTTTAATGTCAATGGCGAATACGCATACGTTCAAAACTTCAAGGTCCTGCAAAGTAAGTTGAGCCACCATCTCAAACGAAGGCCGAGCCCTCCTTAACCGCAGTATCAGACGCCTTCACAAAGCACCAGATCGACAAGCCGATCCCGATCGAGCAGCTCGTCAAGTGCAAGATGCAGGACAACCTCGAGTTCTTGCAGTGGACAAAGAAGTTTTGGGACCTCAACTTTCCCGATCACGAATATGATGCTGTCGCCCGCCGAAAGGGGGGAACACTCGCGACAGGAGGCCCAAAGGCAGCAGTAGCATCCAGCGGTGGTGCCGCCAGAAGAGGCGGTACCACACCGAGCGCTCCCGGCCGTGCCGCCCCTAGAACGGCCGGCGCGCCTTCAGCCGCCCTCCAGCAAGAGAATGCCACGCTGAAGGAGACTGTTGTGGGTCTCGAGCGCGAGCGCGACTTTTACTTTAGCAAGCTACGTGACATCGAGCTACTCATCCAGCAGGCCATTGACGAGGATCCTGAAATCGACAAGCAGGAAGACGGGCTCGTGAAGCAGATTCAAACCATTCTGTACTCGACCGAGGAGGGCTTTGAAATTCCTGAGGAGGGAGAGGCTGCAGAGGACCAGGAGACGTTTTGAAAAGCTCATGGAGCGCATGTGACGATTTAACGAATGGACTGCATTTGATCTGGAGCAAAGGAGAAAAGCTGATGATGCCCGCGCAGAGCCCGTAGAGCCAAGGCTGTGCTGCGAGCAAATTACAGTTGGGGCGAGTTTGACGGCTGGGCAAACCTGAGTGAAGCAGTGTAATTACAGTTAAAAGCATTGGACAAAAGTCTGTGTCTGCATGATCCATCGGACAGTTTGCGGGGATGGAATCCAAATAAATTGGTCAACACGCACACGGGTTACAAGAAACGTACATTTTTATTGAGAAAAAGTCGGCCTTACGAGGCAGTGATGTCGTCTCGTCCAACTCATGGAAGAGGGCAGTTCTCAAGACCGCCCAACTAAGTTAATTACCTTGGCTTGTACCTAGACGAGTACATAGGTACCTGCACGGTCGGGGCCGCCTCACGCACATGACGCACTACCTAGGTCGGTAGGAACCTACCTAGTGTGCTAGGGTAGGTAGGCACCAACTGTGACACCCAGAAACATTCTGGCACTCCACTGTACACCTGTGAGAAACATCTTGCATCATCACCCTCCAGCCGCCTGACGACTTCACTTAGACGGGACCACGCGACCACTAACACTTCACCGCCGACGATACCCCTTCATAAAAGCATCGGCCTTCTCCATCACCCAGTGGCTTATCATTACAATCAATTTGGGACGACTTGGCATCCGCGAGCCAGACGGTCGAGCACACCAGGAAAGCCATTCACACATTGAGCTGGAGGCGTCACGCATCGGCAGACGATGGCGCCGCCCCCGGAGATTGCCATTCCATCCACGAGCATCTCGGACGAGGGCTCAGGGAAGCCATATACACTATACAACATCACTCTGCGGCTGCCGCTGCGGTCGTACGTCGTGCAGAAGCGCTACTCGGACTTTAACAACCTGCACCAGGCGCTGCTCCAACAAGCCGGCGCGGAGCCGCCTCAGCCGTTGCCAAAGAAGTACTGGCTCAAGTCGACAGTCAAATCGCCGGACCTGACCCGCGATCGCCAAGTCGGCCTCGAGCGCTACCTCAAGGCGATTGCGGAGGCGCCCGAGCGGCAGTGGCGCGATACCTCGGCGTGGCGGGCATTCCTCAACCTTCCCAACTCCAGCACCACAAATTCAGCCGCCTCAGCGGGCGGACGGGCGGCCAACGTCGCTTCCGGTGCCGCCGACCCTGCGGCGTGGCTCGAGCTACACAAGGAGCTCAAGCAGCACCTTCACGATGCGCGGATCGCGCTGTCGAAACGAGACGGCGCCGCGGACAGTGGCAACATGACGGCGGTGGCCGAGGCCGCGGCGTCCGCCCGCAAGTCGATCGTCCGCGGCGGCACGCTGATTGTGCGCCTTGCAGAAGGCCTCAGGAAACTGCAGGAATCGGGCCGCATCGGCGACGGTGAGCTGCGGCGCAGGCGCGATCTCGTGTCAACGGCCAAGATGGAGCGGGAAGGCCTCGACAAGCTGGCGAATAGCATGCCAACCAGCGCTGGCAACAGCAGCAGCGGCGCGCGCGGCGGAGGCGGCCTGGCCGCGTCATCCCCAGAAAAGGCGAAGCTGCTCAACGGCGCGCGCCCCGGTGGCCGTCGCCTCGGCGGCGGCGCCCCGGCCTCGGAGACAGACAAGACGCGTGAGCTGGACAACCAGGGCGTATTGCTGCTGCAGAAGCAGGAGATGGAGACGCAGGATCTGCAGCTCGACCAGTTGACGGCCATTATTCGGCGGCAAAAGGAGATGGGCCTGCAGATCAACGAGGAGGTGGAGCGACAGACGCAGATGCTCGACGTGCTCGACGAGGACGAGGCGCGCGTTCGCGGCAAGCTGGGTGTCGCCAACAAGCGTATTCAGAAGATGTGACTGCGGCTCGGGCTTCCGGTGCTGGCTCTGGCGATCCGGCTGTGTGTGGCCGCCGCGGAGGCTGCTGTACAGCTCGGCTGGCTGGCGCACCGCTTGTACAGTGGCTGTTTCTGGATGATTCGCGTGCTTCTGCTGCTCTTTAGCGGGTATCAGGCGTGAACTTTGATTTGTGTTACAACCATTCATATCTTGGCGGGCATTTGCAATTTATTTGGGCTATGTGTGTTTTTCCATCCCTTTTTCCGGGAATGAGCCATGCTTATGCATCTCCACTGCAGACATCCTCAACACGGTAGACTAATTATCAATATACATGAACATTATATCAAAGTCATGAACCTCGGAGTCATCTGTTCTACGGCAGTTCAGCGATTGCTGCCCGTACTTGATGAGGCGCGTGCTGTCCCGACAGGCTGAACCAAGGTGGCGATCTCGTCGCAGGCTGGTCCGCCTCGTCAAAGAAACCAACGGCATAGGTATCAACGAGCTTGAAGCCAAACTTTGCGCAAAGCCCCTGACCTCGGGCGATGTCTGCATGTACGTCACCGGACCCCTCTTGTTGGTCTCCTTGACGCTCTATGCCATTGCCACGCTGCATCTCAGCACTGGTGCTTCGGGTCAACGTGTACAAACTTAACATCCAGTTCCCCCGGATCAGCGCCCAGGCCTTTGTCTTTTCACGAGCCTCGACATGGTCGGTTTGGTTGGTTAGTTGCTTGACACGCCGAGAAGCAAATTGGTCGCCGCTTTCTCGCCAACTAACCACCAAAAATCAGCAAAAAAGTTTATTCGACAACTGTGGTCAGGTGGTGGTTTTGGGTGCACGAGGTCCAATGAAGTTGTGAAATGATGGCAAGGAAGGGGGGGGGGGGGACAAAGGCGAGTAATGAAGGGTGAGCTAAGTGGTCGAGTAGTTATAACTCTTGTTGTTCCTTCGAAAAAATTCCGCAAAACCTTGGAAAAAGGTTCTGGAAACGTTCTCACGCGCCGTTCCGAACGTTTGGCCCGGCGTGGCGTCGAGAAGCGGCTTGGCGATCCTCGGCGAGCCGAATTTGAAATCTCGGACACAGTAGGCTTAACTACCCCATCTTCGTCGAACTGACACATGGAAAACTGGCTAGTATGACAACTTGAACAATTGAAACCAGAGCAGAAAGAAGGCAATTGACTTATTGCATTGTCAAATCCTGCCAATCCCTTCGTGTGGGGGAACCTATTCTGTAATCTTCCTGCATCGATCGACCTGCAGCGTCGTCGTGACACGACATGGCGTATCCTGCTGCTCCGCGACCAGTGCTGTGCATGCAGCGGCTACTTGCACGCTGCCGATTTTCGGTTCGTAGGCGCTCAGGCTACGTACGCCTTATTGCTATTACGTTTACTTTTACTGAGCTGAGCGCCAATAACCCCACTTGACTTGATCACCACGGTGTTCTGGCTTGTGGGCGGGGTCACGCTTTCTTCATTGGGTGTTCTGGGCAAAATTGTTAATGCGAGGTAAGTAGTCCGTAATTAGAGGGTAGATTGAAGCATGGCCCTAAGTAGGAGGACCTTCCCTTTGCACCCCCCAGCCATTTACTAGCTTGCGGGGTGATGCAGCCGCACTCATTGAGACGGTCAACCTGCAAACGCTTGCAATTCAACGGCTTTCACGATACGTTGGCCGCTGGCCATAACTACCGGACTGGTGGTTGTCTATGTGCCCACGGCCCAGCCTTACAAAAGTGTCTCATTGCACGTATGTATGTCTCTACCTGGAATACATGATTCTACACGTGGGTATCCGTACCGCGACCACATCCTGTGCTTTTGTGGGCGGAGACTTTGCTTGTCAATACCGCGGCAGGATGGGTAAGCATAAGCACAAGGGTCCCTCGTCTTCCACTCCGTTAGTGCCGAGCCGTCGCCGAAACCAAGTGTTTCTCGAGCCGCCGGCATCAGATGACGATGCGGCGTCGCGGAGCGTTGAGAGTAAAGACTGGCTCCCGAGCACCTTCATGCCGCAAGTCCTTGATTGGGTGACGGCAAACGAAGTGTTCACTAGCTGACTAGTTGGCTCCGGAATGCATGCAGAGCGGCAGGACGGGTCTAGCCGTGGTGGCTACGTCAGAGAGATGGAGCTAAGTGTATCTTGGGTTGCCCAGCAACGCAAAGCTACTAGCGTCGTGTCGAAAAAGGACGAGCGCGAGACAACAATGAGCAGAGCCACACGCTTCTCGTTTGGCCTTCGATTTCGGTTCGGGAAGTGGAAAATTGGCCATTTTTTCTGTAGGCGACAGACCATTCAAGGTATTATTGAGCCTGTGCGAAGAGGATAGTAGGCGACGCGGCGCGTATCGGTGCCAATGTTGCGATGCGTCGTACAATCGTTGTCTCGTGTGTGAAAAGAAACCTGGTCATGCATGCAGCAGGGAGAACATGTGGATTCCCGCTGCAGGAAACAAAAAGATAGACGAGGCTACACAGGCTTGACCGCCTATATACACAACATCTGCATGTACAGATTACTGATAGTTGATTTTGAGCTTCTAACTAGCCCCTCAACCCTGACTCGGCCGGGTCAGACTGGGAGACGACCCGGTTGGAGGTTGTCGTCGTTGGGCATCAACGCCTACGGTCAATGGTGCATGACATGTAATATTTAAACGTTTCGGCAGCATTGAGCTGTTTGTTAGCCTGCGAGGACGGCTGAATTGCAGATAATATTGCATACAAGAGGAGAAAGCTTCTGGAACGCGACACTTGCCAAAGACCCTGCGGGCGCTTCATTTCAAGCCATCTACGCCCGCTGCGCAACAATTGCCGCGGGATTTCTCAAGTCCCGCGCCTTGATTTGCGATGATAGGACAAAGAAAGGGCGTTGGGAGGCGGTAAACAAGAGGTCTAAAAAGTGGCGAGACAAGGCTTACTCCTGCGAACAACATCCGCTCTCATGCGTTGTACAAGCATTTCGTCACCAAGGCAAGTGTGTGCTGTAATACGCCAATGAACGACTGGGCCATGTCGACAGTGGCGCCGAGAGGCAGCCCCCCCGTCGCTGGTTCATCATCGGTACCATTTTGTGGTGCAGGGTGATTGGCTCACTGATGATGAGAGCAGCAAGGTCAAAATGAGGAGGCGGGCAGTGTGTGTCGTAATTTCAGCATTGTGATGTGATTGTTGATGGAGGTATGCGAAGCGGGCGCACTGGACAAAGGTAAAAGACGGAGGAGAGCTTCAGTGGCCAGCTGGCAGTTGGCAGCCTCTGTGCTCCGTTTGCCGGTGTTTGCTGCGCTAATAAGCTCTGACGGCCCGGCAGGCCGCCAAAACGCCCTCCAAAAGCCCCCTACAAGACGCGGTCGGAAAGCACCAAAGATTTCAAAGGTGGGGCCGTGGAAAAAAAAAGTCGCTGACCCTTGATCCCTCCCCCAGCCAAAGTAAACACAAGGACCACCGTGATCCATCGGCTCTCCGTCCCCCAAATCTCAGCTGCTCTGCCTTGCTGCAGGTCGATTTCTCTTCCTTGAACAAACCTGGTTTCGCTCATCCCAACAAGCTTCATACTTGTCCCGTCGATAACTAACATCATTGCATAAAGCAAATACCACATCGTGCTGGCCTGTGTTATCCGCCCGTGGGGGCAAGCTAAACAACAAGCTCAACGACGACCGACGACCGACGACCAGCCACACTTACCCGCCTCCTATTCTCTCTTCGATCGATTCATTCCTCGGCTGGCTTGAGAACGCTACGTCAGTCAGTTACTGCATCATTTGCTTCGCTTCTTGCCTATTCTTCCCTCGTTGGTGTGTTTTGATTGCCATATGTCACTTGCTCTGCTCTTAGCACAGGCTAACACCACGTTGCAGCTTCGACCATCTTCTGACGACCGCACAACCCCCTCACTCCAATGGCGTCCTCAAGATACCCCCGACTATAGTGTCCTATTTTTGAACTGGTCTCTGGCGTTTCTCTTTTTGCTCGCTCAGCCTGAGGCGCACCCATTATGAGTGCGCCCCCTCCGCCCCCGCCTCATGGCGAGATGCCGCGGTCGGGTGGTCTTCCTCCAGGCAAATATGACATTTTTGTAATCCCTGAACACTCAGCTGGCTCTGGGTTTCTCTATCTGCCGTCTCTGCAGCCCAATATCAACAGTTTTGTCGCCGGCTTCGCCTCGGCCCTGATACTCGTGGCGCTGTGTCAAAGCATGGCGCCTGCGTTTCGTGCCTGGTGGGATAGCTTCCAAGGTCTCGGCAACATGGGCATAACCCTTCTGATTATTGGTGTTGGTTTTGGCGCCTGGGCTCTCGGGCGCACGCAAAACGATTCGGGCTCCTCTTCCAGTTCCAAGTCCAAGGCATCCGGTTCTCCTCCCCCTCCTCCACCACACTCTGGCACAAGGGCCGGACCTGCTCCCGGCGGCTATGCCTCCACGCCGCCGCCCAACAATCCGCCACCAAACAACCCGCCTCCAAATAGCCCCCCTCCCAATGACCCGCCGCCTCAATCACCACCACCTCCCCCCCCTCCTCGAAACGCGGGCGCCGAGAAGCCCCAATCATCCTGGCAGAAGCCGCCACCTCCGACCGGGAATAAGAGACCGGAGAATCCCAAACCATCAGCCAAGGGCTCCTGGGAAAAGGCACGAGATGAGATGAGAAAGAAGGAAGAGGAGCGAAAAGCCAAAGAAGCTGAGCAGAAGCGCCGTGAGGAGCTCGCCAAACGCCTGGCAGAACTTCGTGCCAAGGAAGCAAAGGAGAGAATGGAACGCGAAAAGGAGAAGCAACGGAAGGAGAAAGAAATCGCCGACAAAAACGGAAAAGAGGCCAAAATTGCAGAGGCCAAGGCTGCGGCGGCCAAGGTTGCAGAAGCCAAAGCTGCCCAAGCCAAAGCGGCAGAGGTTAAAACTGCTGCAGAGAAGGCTGCCGCTGAGAAGGCAAAAGCGGCAGCACCGACACAAATACCTTCGCCGACAACGGATCGTGTCGGAAGCAGTTATGCCTATTCTGGCGTTGGGGAGAAAATGAGCATGTGGCCTAATGGAAAGCCTCCAGCACCGAGTTCTATCACATCAAAGGCACCATCGAGCCCACCTAAGAAGCAACCACCAGCGCCGACCGCGAGGACATTTGTTAGTACTGACGAAGACTCGTTCTCATACCGCCCATACGATAAGCCAAGGAGACGCCAACGAAGGAATTCGGGGGGCTCGATGGCCTCGGATGGCTCCTGGGCACCCTCTCACACAACAGCCCACACGTCCCCTCCACCTTCTATGCGTGGTCCGTATACCACCAAAGATCCAGACAAGATTGTCATACAGGCAGTTTACCTGTTTATGAACCAATATGCCAAGACACCCGCGAGCCAACTCATATCGGGCGTGGGAACCGTCACGGACGGTCTTATCTTGCGAATCACCACTGAAGGTCTCTTCATTGACGATGACGTTCGCGGTGTACCACAACGCGAATGGGACGTCAAGGCATGGACCCTCAAATTGGTCGAGGTATGGTGCCCCCCGCACTGTTTGAATTATGCGTCTTCTTCGATCCCCCACCCCAACAACAAGAGTGCGAATCTGCTTTACAAGATGGCGACAGGCCGTGCACGCGCAGGAGACAGAGATCCTAACAAGCCATTTATTGGCGAAGATGCGGACATGTATCTGACTGAGATGCTCAAGGCGTGCAAGGACTGTTGCCGTCTCGGTCTTTGCGAGCAAAAATTTGGCAAAACTAACACCTCTCCGACTGGCCAGTCCGGCGAGTGGAAAGCCAGAGGGCTCCATTTGCTTCGTGCGACAGTTCGTGACCAGGACGGCAAACGATATCTCTTTGTAATCGACGAGTCCGAAAACTGGAAGGTCGGCGCATCGCTCCAGCGCCTGCGCCGCGGCGCTCAAGCACGACAACTGGGTGTCTGCAGCATGACGGCGTCCGAAGCAAAGAATAATCTGGAGACGCTGGGCTGGGCTGCGTAGTCCAACGACCTGGACTCGACAACAAACGGCGTCACGAGACCGAGTGGCGACAAATCGAATTCGAGTAGCGCAAGAACAGGTAAAAGGAGAAGACAGTCATTGCAGGGTGTTGAGAACAGCAAAGCAATTTATGGGCAATTTCAGTGGCGTTGGTGAGATAAACAAACACGTTGTGTGGAGAAGTTGTCATGAGCATTGGAATGTAGCGAGGGGTACATTAAACTGGAGACGAAGCATTTGGAGCGACATGGAGGTGGAATCGTTTAGAGCGTGCTCTTTTTTCTGATTTATTGCGGTTTGCAACATTCTGGCGAACATCTACATACCCACCACAGATCGCGAGGAAAAATTTGTCTGTTTCAGCTCGGCTCCTCTGCAAGACATTTAGTTGCACCGAGAACGCCATGTGGAGACTTGCAACTATCATATATTTAATCTATCCGAACAAACCAAGGCAGCCCTCGAAGAATTACGTCTTTCTGTCCACCTTGGCGGATGCTGTGATCTGCGTAGTGTCGGTCGGCACTTTGAAGTCGCGCAGCCAGAATCAGATAATCATGGCAATGGGCTCTGAAGTCTCCATCTCGCCAAGGCTCGCCCAGGCCAATCTATTGTCAAAGAGGAATAGATCTTGGGCTACGCTAGTCAAGCTTCCGACCGCACGGCCATTGTTGGCATGAAGATCTACCTTGAAGCTGCTCATCCATTCTAGATCACCTCGTCGAACATTATGGACGTTCTGGGCTCGGCATGTCCACCTTGTCATAGTACTTGTGCAATGAGTGGTTTCTTTTTTCATCCGAGACTGTTCGATCATTCTTGAGTGCTGCGCAGCGTCCATATCGGATATAAATAGTGCATGAGAGGATGCGGTTGCATGCAGGAGGTTGCTTCCTCGGCTTGTGGTTCATCCTTGGCCTGTTCTCTTTGACTTGTTCAATTTGAGTAAAGTTCCTTGTTAGGCCTGCGCAGATAGCATGATGTTGAGCCTTGTGAGAAACAGTCACTTGGCCCTTGCTGGGCTGTTGAGCGGTGTCGCTTCGGCCAGCGTCGTCTTTACCGGTGCGAGCGTCCAGCTCAACGGCGTCTCGTACTTTATTGATCCGCACGTTGCCGGCGAGCTGCTGCTCCCCGCCGCCTCCTCACCGAGTCCGGGCGGCTTCGCACCCGTCACGGTTGTCCAGAGCGCGGGCAACGCGACGAGCCTGGACTCCTTACTTCAGAGCTGGCTTGAGCGCGACGATGTCTTCCAGGCGTCTTTTCTCTCTGGCGGCGTCTACGTTGCCGACAGTCGTCTGCTCGTCTCCTCTGCCTCTGTGCAGCTCTTCAACGTCACTGCCAGTGTCCAGACTCTCAACGACACGAGCCGCCTGCCCTCCGGCCCTTACTTTGTTAATGTACACACGGGTCAGGCGCACCGCGCGCTGCTTCTCTACGACGACTTTGCCAACTCGTTCACGGGGTCGCTGCTGCAGAACCCCGACGGCAGCGTGCAGACGCTGTCGGCGCAGATCCGCACAGCCATGACCCTGACCATCGGCGTGCCCTCGCGGCTGTATTATACAGCGACGCCCGCACGACCGCTCGCAGGCGTGCGCATTGGCATCAAAGACCTCTTTTGCGTGCGCGGCGCGCGCCGCTCCAACGGCAACCGCGCGTGGTACCACCTTTACCCGACGTGCGAGACTACCGCGCCGGCCGTGCAGCGGCTGATTGACGCCGGCGCCGTCATTGTCGGATACCAGGCGCTCGCGCAGTTTGCCAACGGCGACCGCTATGCCGCGGACGCCGTCGACATGCATCTACCGTTCAACCCGCGCGGCGACGGCTATTCGGTGCCGTCAGGCAGCTCCTCGGGCGCGGGCGCCTCCGTCGCCGCGTACCCGTGGCTGGATCTCGCCCTCGGCAGCGACACGGGCGGCAGCGTGCGCCAGCCCGCGCAGGTTGCCGGCCTCTTTGGCAACCGGCCCACGACGGGCCTCGTCACGCTCGACGGGGTGACGCCGCTGGCGCCGACGCTCGACACGCCGGGCTTTCTAGCGCGCGACCCGGCGCTGTGGGATACGGCGCAGCAAGTGCTGTACGGGAGCAACTACACGTCGTGGAGGTCGGTCGAGGCGCCGGCGTACCCGCAGACGCTTTACGTGCTGGAGTGGCCGCGGGGGAAGAGGGCAGACGTGGACAGCATGCTCGACCGGTTCGTGAATGCGACGGCGGAGATTACGGGCACCAAGGTTGAGAAGCTCGATCTGGAGGCTCTGTGGAAGAGCACGCGGCCGAGCGACGTCGGCGACGCGACTCTCGCCGAGTACCTCAACACCACGTACGCGCACATTGTAGCCAGCGAGCAGTGGAAACTCGTCGGAGCGCCCTTCTTTGCCGACTATGCCAGTACGTACCCGCAACATTGCGACCAACTAGTATAGGTGCTGACCCGGGCCGGGATCGCAGAGAAACACAACGGCCGAAAGCCCTTTGTCAACCCCTCCGCCAACGGCCGCTGGCTGTGGGCTAGCACCGCGCCGCCCTCCGCCTACCCTGCCGCCAAGCATCAACAAGAGACCGTGAGCCGCTGGCTGCGCACCCACGTCCTCGCCTCCACCGCCAACGCGCGCTGCTCCTCCTCGCTTGTTCTGTACAGCGACTATGGCGGCGCGCCGGACCTGCGCACTCAGCTGCAGCCTATCCGTCAGCCGTGGGGCCTGGCCACCACCTTTTACAGCCCGTTTGCGGGCGTGCCCGACGTTGCGCTGCCGCTTGGCGAGGTCCGGACGCGGAGCAACATTACTGGCCTCGACGAGGCGCTGCCCGTGTCGGGCGATGTCATGGCTGCGCGCGGGTGCGACGGCATGATTGCCCGACTGGGCATGGAGCTGGTGAGCAAGGGCGCGGTCCGGGTGCCCCAGGCCGGAGGTACAATGGAGGGTGCCGAGGTGCTGTTTCGGCGCGAGATGGGACTGCTCTGAGGGAGTGAGTTGTAGTTGGGCTGCTTCAGTGATGGCACGTCTCAGAATGAACATGAAGACTGGACGACAAAGATTGGACAGAACGGGAAATGAGACGTAATTGTAAGGTAGTTTTGATTTTTTTTTTCTTTGTTTTTTTTAGTTTTGATATAATATACATGAAATTGTCCGTACCTCGTGAACCCAAGGTAATAATTGTGGCAAGTAAGCTTTGTTAGGTTGGCCTGCGTAATGCTTTAGCTGTTGAGGCAGCCATACGTGCAGATAATAAACGCAAAGAGAAATCATAAAAGCCTCGCCAGTAACGCAGGTCAATGATGAAAAAAAAAGGCAAGTTCTCAGAAAAGTCTCGAGACCAACCGGAAACTGAATCTGCATCCAAAGTGGTTTGTTTCAAGGAAACTGAAAAGCAGACCAAAAGAAAAAAACAAGCGTCGATACCATGTAGTGCTTTTTTCATATCCATTCTGAGCAAGTAAAACCCCCTCCAAACTCCTTTAGACTCAAAAAGTTTGTCTAATCAAGCACCCCCAAGATTCTCGTTTCCACCACCAAATAATACATCAAACAGCGTCCTTGTTGTAACGCGCCTAGGCCCCCAAAACTAGGTCTTCTTGCGGGCAATGTCCCAGACCTCGAGGAAGCCGTCCATGCGGCCGAGAAGCACGACGCTCGCGTCCGCCGAAAACGCCGCCGCCGTGACGAGTGCGCCGCCCGGGCGCTCCGCGACCGTCTCGCCAGACAGCACATCCATAATGTCAAAGCCATCCTCGGTCCAGCAGAGCATGTACTTGCCGTCGGGGGACAGCGCCAGCGGGACGCCCTCGGTACGCCGCACCGACGCTAGCGTGTACGAGGTGAGGTGGTTTGCGCGCGGCGTCCAGACATGCACCGACGCACCCCAGACAGACACAATTGTCTCATTGTCGGCGACGACCAGAGCGCGCGGATTTGCGGCGCCGAGGCCTTCGATTTCGAGCTTGGCCGTGGTCCGGCTCGTCGCTGGGTCTGTGACGCGCAGGGTACCATCGCGCGAGGCCGTGACGAGGTGCATGTCGGGAGTAAAGGCGGCAAAGTCAACCTTGTCAATGTGAGAGACGACGCGGCCAAGAAGCGTGCCAGATCGTGTGTCCCAGACGCCGACGCGGTGACAGCGCGGCTCCGCCGCGGCGATGGCCCGCCCGTCGGGGCTCCAGGCGACGGGATCGCCGCATGCGCCCTTAATCTCGAGCGCCGTCTTACCCGTGTGTAAATCACGGAGAAGCAGCGACGTCGAGTGAACGTATTCGACGCCGGGGCCGAGCTGCAAGGTCCAGTCGCGCAGCGTAGCTACACGCGAGGCCGAGGCACCGACTGGCGGCGCAAAGGTGGCATGGCCACCAGACACCTTGGATAAGCCGCGCCGCGAGTTGAGCTCAAAGACATCCAGCCACACTTGGTCCATCTGGCCGCCGTTGAACGTGGCGTAGGCAATGGGATTTTGCGCGTCAGCGGACAGCCCGACTCTGCGAATCTCGCTCCGCGCAGTGAGTTTGCGGTAGCGGAGGCTGAGTGTGAGCTGCTCGGACGCCACGACAGAGTAAGGAGGAGCATCTGTCTTTGACCTGGAATGAACATTAGCATTTCCAACCGGTACTTGGTTTTTTTTTTATAGACGCGTACATGGCTGTTGCTGTGACTAGACTGGCAGATAATGCAATGGCTATATGGCGCACTGAACGGGTTGATCCGTGTAAGTCGTATATAAGTTGCAAAGTAAATAGTTGTGTTCAGTGTGTAGCTTTGTGTGATAGCTTGTAAATTGTTTTCCGGTCTGTCCATTTCCGTAACGGCGTCAGCAGGGTGAGGCCGAGTCTTTATATAAAGTGCGTGAATGGTTGTAGTCATTCACGACGGACTCGCTGCGCTAGGAGAATGGCTGGGCGGCTAGTTCATGCTTGTCTGGCGCCCACCAAGGTTGTTCCCAAGCGGGCGGCGGGGTGGGCTTAGAAAGCAGGATCGTGGTGAAGAAAAAAAGGTGAGTAGAGAATAAGTGATTGAGGTATGCCCCAGAGCATGCCAGGGCCTCATCCTGACTTGTGCCGGCCAATCCTGTGTCACCGCCCGTGGCTACGCGAGTGGCTTTTTTGCTGGGAAGAGTGGCCGTTGTCGCTTAGAAATTCAACAATGTTGTGACTGCGAGGAGAAAAGACACCAACAGGAGCGTGTGGCTTGAGAACAAGCACTGAACGGACCCGTAAAGTTCGGCCGTTCAGTTCCGGCGGGGCCAGCTTCGATGCCGTGAACCGGTCTCAATGTGACTGCGCTTGCCGCTCCGAATAACGGTGTCTGAGGATGCGTTAAGCGTCTCAATCATTTTGGTTGCCAGAATTCAATACTGCGGCACAACGTTTTCAGGGCCAATGTCCAATCTCCGTACCCATTTTGGGGGTCCAACCCCTCTTTTGCCCGCGGCGGCCAGTACGTTTTGGGCTCGCCGAACGTTGACTCACGGCGGCTCTTCTTCGCCGTGTCCATTTTCGTGTTAGTCGGGTTGCTGTCAAGGCGACGACAGGGCTGAACGTGGTCGATGCGAGCATAATTCGCAGAGTGCTATTGATATAATTGAGATGGCTCGAGGCTAGCCACATGACCCTGCATTTGTTCCAAATTTTCCGTATTGTTGCAGTCGAGCAATGCAGCTGGCTGTTGCTAGGCTAATAGTTAGATGTTAAACCAGATTTCACTCCTCATAAATGGTGGCGTATACAACAGGTCCACAGAGCTGAACTCGATGCGCGGGAACGAGAAAGATGCTGAATAATAGCCACGACCTGCAGAAATCTTGAGTGCTGCTATGTAATCAATCGTGGCGCAATCAATCCGGGGGCTGATGAGGTCCGGCAAGAAATGACCAGCATCATCACTTGCTTCGCTGTGCCGACTGAAGCACCACTGTCCATGTTGCCTTGGCACCCGCAAACTCCTCTTCAATTACCTCTAGCGTTCTGTCCCAAGGCACGCGAAATTTGCCCGAATTGAACATGGGCGAGTAAATAAACACATCCCGCCCGTCCGCCGCTGCCGCTTCATCCATTCTTGTTCGAAACTTCTGCAAGCTTGTCCTCGTCTGCTCCACGATCCTGTCCGCCGTGTCCTTTCCCGGCTTCCCCGTCCTTCGGTTCGACGTCCCGTACCCCCACGATGTGAACAGACACACAATGTGCACGCTGGGCGCGCCACGCGCAATGTCGGCCTGCTGCGGCGCAATCACCAAGCATTGGCCGGTCAGGCTGCGCGGCGGCCACCGGTCGCTGGGGCTGCGCTTGGCGGCGTGGCAGAATTCCTTGTAAATTTTGCACGCTTCGGGGAAGATGGCGGCCAGCTCGGCGGCGAAGCCGGAGCCCCATGTCGCGAGGCAGTTGGTCGCGTGAACGAGATGGCTGTTTGGCGGCAGTTCGCGCAGCGACAAACGTGCGGTTTTGATATGGAGGTCAGTGGCTGGCATGGTATGTGTGTGCGTAGTGCTGGCACTAAAGAGAAACCAATTCGAGCTCTCTTGAGTTGTAGCACTCAAGTACCATGGTAGCTTGGTTCGCAATGGGTGTGTATGTGTTGGTTTATGGTTTGCATATGTGTTTGGCGGTTCTGCCTTCCTTCACAGTTGCCGCCGTTTGAGTCACGTTTCGCCGGCTTATTCGCCAGTGAACACCCGCGCGCCAAACACAGCATCTTCACAAATAGATATCAGAGCGCCTTTTTGCACTAATTATCTTCTTTGTCACTCAAATCGATTCGGCATTTTGACTCTGTTCAGCTCGCGCTGTCCGCGAATATAGTAAATACTTTTTTTTATTATTCTTCATTTTCGTGACGTTGGATTCTTTCTTGATTTCTCCCCGATCCTTAATCTTTAGCGACGCGACATATACCAAGTCTCATGGTGGGCGCATGTCTCCTTTCCGTCGCACAGACCTGCTAACAAGATTCCAATAGTCTTTAGTAGAGACATCGTACCTCCGGCGAGGCTGATATACTAGGCCAAAAGAGCAGGCCATCATGCAGATGAGGGTATTAGCGGTCGATTACTTTTCAGTGTCAAGGCCAGAAAGTGACTTTCCCATAACCAGAACAAGTGTAGGTAGGGTCATTGTTCCCGGGCGACTGGCAACACAGTCTGCGAGTGAGACTTCAAACCAGACAGTCAGCCGCTTGATGTATACAAAGCCGGGTTGAATGGCAGTGGGCTGCTGAGAGAAAGAAATCGCTATAAGCAGTAATGCTCTGCCTCGCTACCACCTCCTGTCGAGTTTTCGACGCATCCCCGCAAAGCTCGCTCATCCACCAGCGTGGCGACTCGATGACTTGTCGAGTTGCAGTCTTCCCTTAAAACCTATAACGCCGCCCTCTTATAATCTGGCTCATTGTTGCTTCACGGGTACCTTCCTACTCATGCCCACGCCCGCCAGGAAACAGATGCGCAGCGTCGCGCCGGCATACACCCAGGGCACGTTACCCCAGCCACCGGCGTTCCACCCCAGCACGTCGACGTAGATGCGCGGTCCCAGCTCCCGCAGCGAGTAGAGGTGGGCAAAGTCGGCCAGCAGCAGCACCGCCAGCACGGCCTTCCAGACACGTAGGTCGCCGGTGCTGCGCAGCACTACGGCCTCGTTGAGGGCGAAGAAGAGGTACATGCTGGCGAGCTGGGATAGGGCCACCGACGTGCCGAGGGGTACGGCGCCGGTGGTAAAGGTCGTGGCGGCGGCGGAGGGTGCGTCGAGCAGAGTCAGGTAGCGCGCCTGGCGCGCCTGGCAAAAGTAGGCGCCGACCAGGGCAGAGATGGGCTCGAGGACGAGGAAGAAGAAGCGGTAGAGGAGGGGCAGGACCAAGCCGGTTTTTTGGGTGGTGGGGGAGGCCATGTCTTGCCGTGCGTTTGTGTGGTGCAATGTAATTGGGTTGGCTAAAGCAATGCGTGGGTTGGCCTATGCGATGAACGGCCACACGGCTGATGATGCAGAGTGTGGGTGCACTGGGTGATGCGCTGGGTGATGCACGGGGTGAGAGGAATCTGCAGATTTGAGGTGGGGGTAAATTGCTGCAGGGTATGCTGGCTTTGCAGCGGGGAGCCGATTTAATGATGGCTTTAACAGTGTACAATCTTGTCATCTTGAAGAAAATGTGAAGCGATAATGTGGCGTTATACTTCGTAATGTGTGATTAATTGTGTAAAGCTTACCGGTATGGTACGAGCGGCCTGGCGCTGTCTGGGTTGACTTGCGTCTCAATATATGCATGCAACTACTGGCGATGTCACTCACATCTGTTGGCTTGCAGACGATACTATGACGTGCCCGCCACACCACACGGCAAATAAAGGCACAGTCCTCCTCCTCAAGTCACCTAGCAGCATGTCTTTTTTAGAGTCGGTAGCATCCTGCATCACTATTCTTGCAGAACCAAGATATTGTAGATGCCTCGCACTAGAGCCCAGATACTGCAGAGCGGGCTACCAACTGACGCCAGCCTTTGCCCCAGCAGAGCAGTCGCTGTTGAGAACGAATAGAAAATTGTAGCAGAGTGTCGGAAAGGATCGCTTATTTCTATCATTTGTTGACAGTCTTGTTCTCAATATACTGATGGACTCATCTTCGATACTTGCGCAGTAGAATCTGGGGTAGGAGCCCCTTACAACCCCACAGCCCATTAGCGCCACTGGAAAAAGATAGCAACTGGTTATATGAAAGGGAATCGAGGAAAGCGTCGTGACCTTGGACGCCACTGATGAAAGGAAAGAAACGAACAATTAAAGATTGAATGGAACAAACAGGATGAAGAATACAATCTTGTATTTCGACTGTAACTTTGAGTGGTTGCAGGCATGCAGGCGTAAAGGGCGCTAAAAAAAAGCAAGAACTCCACTGGGCTCGGCCACTTGCGGAGAGAACCTAGGCAAGTGGCAAGGCAACCTAGATCTCTGCAGCGACTCGAGGTACGACTACCTAAAAAATGGGGGGAACTAGAAATTCCCTCAACCCGAGAACCGAAGTCTCTGAATATGCTTGATAAAGACAAATAACATTAAGTAAATCTCTGAAATTGGACTTTTGGCTCTTCTACCAGCTGTCAGTCTCCTTCCCAAAGTAGACGCCTTAAAAAAGCCCGGGATCCCCTAAAAGTTATACGCCAAAGCCCACCAAAGCCCACTAAAAGTTATCCACTGTAGCCACTCAAATTTATTCTTAGCGACATTTCAGATTTTGCCAGTCAGTCAGTGGTTTTACTCATTGTTTACCTATTGATCGTCGCCTTTCTACTGCACCTTCATCTCTCTTTAATTCTCTTTTCCCTTTTCTTCCCCAACTTGACAAAAGTCTGCCTTTCGTTCTCTATCCTTCTTCTTCCGATCTCATCTTTGGAGAAATTCTTCCCCGCGTTACTAACTTGGCCGTCCGTCTGGCTCTTTTGCCTTTTACTTACTTTTCCTCCTGCTTGCCAATCTACCGCCCCCAAAATCGTTCGTCCTCCCTGCAGGGGATCCGCAAAGTCGTCACCGCAACACAACACACACAACACAACACAACACAACACAACGCGAGATTCAATCTTTTGCCGACTTTGTTTCGCTGCTTGGGCATCACTCACATATCTTGAAACGGCCACTTTAGTCACACTCTTCTGGCTACTCTATTCGCTTCCCGTCCCTGCCCGCACGCAAGTAGCCTGTCGGCACTCCAGACTACACACTTGCCGAGCGCACGGCTCCCTCCCTCTCTTCTCATACCTGGTAGGCAAATCACCCCTTGTGTTTCTGCTTTTGCCTCCCCAGTCGCCGATTTGCAAAACGAAACCCAAACGCCCTTATTATTGAGTACAACAGAACGCTCCGTTTCGTGGTGCTCAGCAACCGCACACTGCCCTGCCCCACCCACGCCTCGCAGCCTCCCTCGCAGTTCCCTTGCCAGTCGCGGCACACCCGGTGTCCCGCAACCACTAGATAAGATGAGCAAATCAACGCCTTCTTACCCGCCGCCTGGCAGTTTCGACTGGGCGGCCGTACGCCGTGAGATATACGCCGCTGCCGGTCCTCAGCCTGCCGCTGAGTCGTCGTCCCCGCGCCCGCATGCAGGTGCTCACCCCGGGTCCCATGATCAGCAGCGCACGCGAAGCCTCAGTCTTTCTCTGCCATGGCGCCGCCCAAAGAGCGCCCTCTTCATCCACGACGACTACAGAACACACGAGCATGCCATTGACGACTCCAACGACGACTACTCGAATTCCGACCACAAACGCCCTGCTGCTACCGGCGCCCTCAAAGGCATGTTTCGACGCGCCTCGCACTCCTTCAAAGTCATGGTGCACCGCCGCCCAGTGCTTTGGAACGAGGAACCCATCTACGAGCAGAAGTACCCCGAAACGAGACCCTACACAGCCAACTCGACCTGGAACAAGCTACGCCAGGCTACCGGCCTCCGCCATACCCCTTCTGCCTACGGGTTGGACGACTCGTACCGGACTGCTCTCCCGTCCCAGCCGGCACCTGCCAAGGTTCCCATTCCCGCGCTCGGCGACGCTCCTCCATATATCCCCGAGTATGGTGGCGCCGCCGCCAAGGCTTCTGCCGCCATGCAAAATGAATTCTTTGCCCGCAACCGCTGGCTCCACGAATCGACGAGCGAGGACGGCAATGATCGCGAGAGTGGAATCGGCATCGTCCCTTCGGGTGCCAGCGCCGATTTCGACATTGACGCCGAGGCCGTGTCCAAACCGGCCGACTTTAGCCGTGTGGATTTCATCAGCGCGCTGCCTGTTGAGCTGGCCATCCAGATCCTCGCCAAGCTCGACGCCGCCGCGCTCGCCAAGCTCAGCACCGTCTGCAAGTGGTGGTCGCAGATTATCAAGAACCAGCACATTTGGCGCGAGTCCTTTTTGCGGGAAATGAGCAAGACGTATGCGGCGTGCGGTCCCGTGCAGCCCAACACGGGCCTCGGCATTCCCAAGACGGTCCCCGACAACGACTGGAAGCGCGCTTACAGGGTCAGGCAGCAACTGAGCCAGCATTGGCAACAAGGCAACGTGTCGCCCGTTTATCTCAGCGGACATACCGACAGCGTTTACTGTCTCCAGTTCGACGAGCGTAAAATCATCTCCGGCTCCCGCGACAAGACGATTCGCATCTGGGACATGCGCACTTTCGAGTGCCTCCTGGTCATTGGCCCGCCCCTGGTGGTGCGCGCCCGCTCGTTGCTCTTTGACAACAACCTCGGCGAGACGCACTATGCGTCTGGCCCCGAGGACGAGAGGCGCTCAGTCGTCTCGACACCCGACGTCGCCACGTTCGATATCCACCACAATGCCTCGATCTTGTGCCTGCAGTACGACGACGAGATTCTCGTCACCGGCTCCTCCGACTCCCACGCCATCGTCTACGACATCAAGGCCGGGTACAAACCCCTGCGGCGCCTCGAGCACCACACGGCCGCCGTGCTCGACCTCGTCTTTGACGACACCCACATTGTCACTTGCAGCAAGGACACGACGATTTGCGTGTGGGACCGCGCGACTGGCCACCTCGTGCGGCAGCTTCGCGGCCACGGCGGGCCCGTCAACGCGGTGCAAATGCGCGGCCGCACCGTGGTCTCGTGCTCGGGCGACCTCCTCGTCAAGCTCTGGGATCTCGACACGGGCCGGACTATTCGCGAATTCGCTGGCCACACAAAGGGTCTGGCCTGCTCGCAGTTCTCCGAGGACGGTCGCCTCATCGCCTCGGCCGGCAATGACAAGATGATTCGCGTCTGGGACGCCCACACCGGCGCCTGCCTTCACGAGGTCCCCGCTGCCCACGACAACCTCGTCCGCAGCCTTCATATCGACTCCGTTGCCGGCCGCCTCGTCTCGGGCTCCTACGACACCGACATTAAGGTCTGGGACTTGCGCTCCGGACGGCAGCTCCTCGACTTTCCCCGCTGGCACGCCAGCTGGGTCCTCTCTGCCAAGAGCGATTACCGGCGCATCGTCAGCACGGGGCAGGCTCCTAAGATTCTCGTCATGGACTTTGGCGCCGACGTGGACGGCATTGACATGCTGCAGAGCGTGGATGACCCGATGACCTTGTCGTCGTCGTCGTCGTCGTCGTCGTCGTCGTCGTCGTCGCCAAGCCGTGAAGGTTTCTTCTGATCATGGGTGTCATGCTGGCCGCATCATCCTCTTGCACATACGATACATTGAATTGGCGTTTTTTCTCCCCTTTTCCAAAACCTAGACAAGCTTGGGAACCGATACATCATCACACATATATATATTAGCGCGCGTTTCTTTTTTTCTCTTTTTTTCCCCTTCAATTCCTTTCATGTTCAGGTATACATAACATAGACTGCGCTCTTTTGGGGGTGGGAGGGGTGGCATTGACTACTCGCAGCGTTTTTGGCTGTCTTGTTTCCAATTGAATTGCCCTTTGGACATTTGTTTTGCAACAACTGAATAAAGAGACTCGAGAAGCGCCGATTTGGAACTCTACGTTGATACTTTTTCATGTCTTTAATACATATGCACCATGGTACGGAAACCGGTGTACTTGCTGATAATAAGCTCCGATCTACACCCCGTGATACCCGTGATATAGAAATATGCTCAACTAAAGGAATCACGCTCTCCAGAGGAATGCGGTTCGTAGAAGCTTGTATCGGCAGCACAAACGTGCCTCACGAAGTATGCTCAAGCAAACGCAGAATTACCTAGGCCCTGGGGGGGAAAAAACATCGCCGGTCTATTAGTCGGCCATTAGTAGCCTCTAGATAGTTATACTAATAACTAACTCTAGGAAAGTGATAAAAATGTAGTAAAAATTAGATATTATACTTTAGCCACTAAATAATACTATAGTAAGTAGAAATTTTAAATTTGTCCTAGCTAAGTAGATATAAATGAGTCTATAAACTAGTGGTATAATGGTGGTGGCCGTGGATCAGCGATGTATTTTTTCCACCCCCTACCTAGGTAACCCGTCGGCCCATCTTTGGACGGCTGTACTTTCACCTTTCGAGCTTTTTTTTTGTTCCTTGCTGTTCCAGATCTCACATATGGCAACTGGATTTCTACAGCCAACCTCACGAGGCTCGCGAACGAAGCAGTGCAAATATCCCGAGTTCCACCTTACAGTGCCTCAGAGCAATTACCGCGACGCCTTGCGCCGGACCGGTCAGGTATCATCACTGGCACGAGCACCCGTGGTAACTAGGTATGTCCTGCGATCAACCAAACACAAACAGCCATCGAAAAAATCAAAAGCTTCCGCGGTAGTCGTCCGGACCGAATACACAACAAGTTTGTGACTTGAGTATTGGATGGGGCCTCAGTACACCGTTTGTACATCATAGGCGAAAATTCCCTGTGGTCACTGTAAATATGAGGGCGAGGCCGAATATTCCCAGTCAGTTGTTGAAGGGTTGAAAAGTTTGCGTTTGGCTTGGGGGAATGCGCAGGCTTTTTTATACTTGGTACTCTTCGCGTGGGCAGCCACAGACGTTGGGATTGTGGCGGCAAAGTCATGACGAACTGACTGCTAGGACTAAGAGTGACTCACCGGCCAGCAAGTTCTCTGATGCACAAGGTAATGTAATATGGATGAATATGGATAACTTTGTGCTATTCGAATTCGCTTCCCCCCCGTTTGCTCCTGGTATATGCAACAACCAAATTCAATGGCGTATTCCCATTCTTGTCAAGCTTGCAATGTGAGGAGAATAAGTCATCTTGACAGCGGAAACTACAGTTGGCCATTACGGTGAGTCAATATTGCAATCTAGTGGGCGAGCCAGAAAAACCAGCAGGTATCAGATGAGCACTTGCACAGTGATACCTACACGGCCCAGAACACTGTACGAAAAAGCTACGGTATCTATTGTGCATTCAGCCAATACACAAAGTTATGTTGCCACGTGTTGAAAGTAGTATTACAGGCAAAGTAGCTAGCAGCAAAAGTACCGTATCAGTGCATCAACTTTTGCTGCGTATTCTAACGTGCCACCAGGAGAGGCTAGCATAAGTGTTTCTACCGCTGATGATGATTCAATTGCTTCCTTCTACTGGCGACATTACGGCTGGGAGAGGAAACTACACCATGCGAGGCAGGAGCACCGGTATCGTGGTATTCAGGTCAGCCTTCGCTGCCCGCATCAACTTTCAAACTTCTCCTCTTCATCTAATTCTTCAGTCTTCTCTCTACTCTTTTTTACACCGGCTGCTCGTTTCCATTTCTTCCCTCCATTTGTCGACTGCCGTTCTCGTTCTGCCACTCGTTTCAGCGTCATCGTCGATACTCTGCCGTCCGTCCATACATACACTGCCATCGGGTTTGTTGTTGATACTCTTGCACAAATACTGTCGATATATATATTGGAGAGTTACTAGGCATCTCTGTCGACCTATATGTAGTCTTTAGACGTGCCTTGTCGGACTCGTCAGCGCCGTCCATCAAACCGCTCAGGCTGGGCTGCGCGCCGGTGTAGCTGTCCAACCCCGGCGGATCAAACACGACAACCATGCCCGGCGGCAGGCTCAGGCCCTCGACAGTCGCCAAGGCGAGGTCCAGGAACTCCAGCGCTACGAAGAGCCACTTGAGGCCGGCGGCGTGGATGGCGGTCACGAGCTCGACCTGCTTGACAAAGGTCGGGCCGGGGATGTAGAGGGATAAGTGAAAACTGTAGGTACCTGTGGACAAACTCCGGAGGTACCGGCAAGGAGGTGCAATCACCCGAGAATGGAACTCAGGACAGCGATACAGCGACTATACCTGTAGTTATCTGTCAGAATTGTGAGCCCTTTTACTACCAAACTGGTTGCGGACGGCCAAGTTGATGATGCCATTCTGCCCCTGAGAGATCCTCAGAGAGGTCATCTTTAGCGAGGCACGTGCCGCAACCCCGCGATCATGTCTACATCTGGGCTCAGCATCTCATCTCGACTTTCGCGGGGTCCGCAGCCCATGCGACCCCTCCAACAGAACGTCAGCGCACTGCAAGCTCGGAATGGTGGGCCACGTGGACGATTTGATTTCGCAAATGTCCCTAGTAGCACCGAGAACAAAAACCGCTTGACGTCATTGCCATCAAGTGGTGAAGACCATCATCTAGATGTTGATACCTCCGGGGGGGGGGGGGGGGGGGGGCAAAATTTCGGCCATTTTCACGGGTATGCTCAAACGTCCCTAGCAAAGCGTCAAGGGAGCACAAGGCTTTACAGCCATGCTTTCAGCTCCACGGTGAGACAGACCCGAACCGGTGTCCAGAAAAAGGAATCTTTTTGGAAGGGTAGGACTAGTTAAACTCGGCGTCCCGTCGAGCTGGGTGGACAAGACCGGCGTCTTTTCGGTGCTGCTCGGCTTTGGGGGAAACCTGAATCACCTTCTGTGTAGCTGGACGGGCCCGAGAGGCGATGAAACAAATGAACTACGCCACGCGCTGGGCAAGGCGGAAAACGAAAGAAAAAAAGCTTGAATCTGCCAGAAATGGGGGACGAAAGACGGCTATCCATAAGATGTGGCAGCGGCATTCTACCGTGCCACCCATGCTGTTTACGGGAATATCTCCGCCGGTGACCCGGGGCTGTCAATCGTTGCATCGCTCGCATCACCAAGATGTTGCTTGGATGCGATTCGCCACTCATGTTACTGTTCTGCTAAACTGTAGACTTTAACCTGTCATATCCAAAGTCAACGTGTGGTACTGGCTCAAGTCGCTGCCACTGCGCCGATCGGCGTGCGCTGTGTCGAGGGTCGCATTCACAGCTGGGAGCACATCACATGTCCACGCCACGCCGCGGGATTATCGCTTCTCGAGACTTGATACGTCTACATCAATATGACAGGCGAGGTATCGAGCCTGGCTCAATGTCCCGCAGCGTTCTGCCCGTGCCCCTGCTTGTCTTGCGTCTCTTATTCGCTTGTGAGCTGGGCTACCTACGTGCTTCGTTCTCGAAAGTTGCTTCATTAGTTGCCCTTTTAGGTCGTTTCGGAAGGGAATGACAGCATCTTGCATTTCGAGTGCAGGCTTCTCCGCTCAGCTGAGAGCTAGTCACCATTCACATGTGCATGGTCGCGTGCAGTGTAGCACACATATGAGCGTCGACATTTGAGCCGTTTAGACGTTGTATTGAGTGGTAGATGGTAGATGGTAGATATGTTAGATATTGGTGGCAAATCGGAACGCCTGTCGCGGATAATCATCCCAAAGCATAACTCATGTCTTGTCTTACAGTTGCGCCTCGATAGACAGACTTGTATCTTGGCGACCTTTTTCGCGATGCGAGATTGCATTGTACAAGTGAATAACAACGTGTTTATTGCGAGTGGCGGATCTGGCTTGTCGGGTCATCTGGTTTGCGTCGAGAACGATCCACCACTGCCTTTCGCGCAGAGGCGACAATCATTACTCCACGTCGGATACCAACGATTGAATGAAGCAGCTGCCCAGCTTGGCTAGTGCAAGGCACAGGCTTCGCTTGCTGGTAAGTTCACAATCCTTCCCGGGGCGTCTGTATGGTGTGTTCGACTCCAATTGTTTCTCTGTAGGAATCGACCCAGCCCAGCATGCGAATCAGCGACGACAACTCTCCTGGCAGCACGGCCAAGCGCCGTTTATATCAACGATACTGCGAGTACCTCTGTAATGTTGGGCTTATAAGTTCGCAGCCATCGCTGCAACTTCGATCGGCGCCGTCATATGGGGCCGCTGGAGTGTGTCACTAGTGGTGTGACTTGCAATAATAGGCTAATGAGATACAGTGTGACAAGCCATTACTAGGTAGGTATGAACTTGCGTTTCTTCTTGGGGCTGGCTAACAGGCTAACACCAGAGTACTCCGTAGGCGTGCTAGACTGGGGCTGGGCTGTTTTGATCACACATTGTTGGTCCTTTTTTGCCTTGATTGGACAACTTCGCTAGGAGTAGCATCTGCATTAGCCATGAATCTTCTTGTTTCCAAATACATAAAAACAAGCTTTTGATAGTTTCGAGAAATAGGCACGACTCAGGCCTTGATACTACACATGCCAGCGAGGACGCTTCTAGGGGTTGGGAAGCTGGGGTGAAACAGCGCTAACCTCTTTAGCTGCCCATCTTGGCATGCAACAAGGAGACTGCGACTGGTGTCAGTTTGACGTACCAGGAGCTGACGGCGAAGGATTGGCCGTCCGTGCTCCATTAACTAACATCTAAGCCACAAGGTCAACGGCCCTCCACGGATTCAAAGTAAATAGGACCTGCTTTCTTTGGAAAAAGCCAAGAACTCCACCAGCCCAGTCCACGGCGCTGCCCCGGCCTCGATTTAATTGCATCCGGGTTTACGGAGTACTGGTGATGCCTCTGGCAAGCGGGGGCCAAGTTTTCTGCTCGGCACATGGGCATAAACTGACGTAAAAAGTGCCCGGTGCATAATATTGCGATTGTATGCCGAATGATGCTGCTGAGGTAATTTAAGTTGGTGACTTGGCGCGCCACGGGCTGTCGAGGGAGTACTGGTATCGTTTGGCAGGTCCTTGGCGCTCCGAGACATGAGTTGGTGTACTGACCAGTAACTGCTGACCAATTTCCACAGGAGAGTCGCTAGACTCGCAAACTCGCCTACCCCTGGTGGTAGAGTCTCCAATGTCTGTTTCGTAGCCGCAGCCATAATGGGCGAGAGACGAGAAATCGAGGACGGAGTTTGTTTCTGCCAGATTCGACTCCAGACAGGCCATAGCGCTGGCAGGAGCTCTTCCCGTGAGGGGCAATATCGCGACCCAGCATCTGAAACGGAATACACGCCCGTATTGGGCCAATAGATGGAATCGGGACCTGGCTGCTGTCGTCGGGAGGCCCGCATGGGGTTGTGGCCCACTGGCCGCTGGTGTGGGGGCTCCGCTTTCTGAATACCTACGCGCCCCAATGAATGAATGTCTAGGTATGAAGCGAGAACAGAAGAACAATGGCTGTCAAGCCCCAACCTCTGGCCGTCGAGGCTTTACATGCCGATGGTCCTTGCGGAATTCGACTGCAGCTTATAATGCATCGGCTCCCGCTCCATATGATCCCCTGTTCGAGAAGTGTAGTCAACTCTCTTTTGACCTCTCACAACATCTTGTACCTTCTGGCCAACTACAGCACTGCCATTTCATTCTTTCTCGATTCAACTTTTTTCCTTCTTCGAGCACTTGTAAAAGTTGCTCTCACGTATATATTTCTGTGCTTACAAAACCGCTGTAAGTTTGTTCCAGTACGCGCCGCCTTCAGATCAACAACACCGTGTAAGACGTTGTGCGCCCACCTGACACACCATGCGGGCAAGTGCCTCGAGGAGCTGGGAGCAAGTTCGTCATAGCCTCTGACTAGTCATCTTTGACTAGGCCATCATGGTGTCGTTGACGAGTTTAAGTTGCAGTCCCGTGAAGAAAACGGACTGCTGACCTTTGCCCCACCATCGTGGGAGTGGCAGCCATCAAGGAACAATTAACTTGCAGCTGGCAGGCAGTCGCTTGCCAGCTGGCGCGTTGTAGCGCCAGCCACATTCACATTTTGTTCAAATAAAAGCTTTTCCTTCCGTCCACCATAGTACCTATTGTCCTACATGACACTCTGCACTGCATCTTCTGCGTCCCCTTGCTTCTTTGTTTCAGCACTTCTTGCTGCCGCTTGCTCCTTCGTCTCCTCTGCACAAGCAACTGACACCGATCTCGACCTAGACGCGCCTTTTCTCCAAGTCCGTCACCATGGGTCTCGGATCAATCTTTACGGCCTCTCTGCTGGCACTGAGCGCCTTTTCTCCAGTCTCGGCAGCGCCATCTTCTTCCACTGACAGTCTGGAAGCCCGCACCAGCTCTAGTTGGTGGCTCTCTAGCATCAAGCGACAAGGTTCCGTCCCTAGCAACAGCAACTTTACAGTTTTCCGCAACGTCAAGGACTACGGCGCCCGCGGGGATGGCACCACCGATGACACCGCTGCCATCAACGCTGCTATCACAGCTGGTAACCGCTGTGGCCGCGGCTGTGACTCCAGCACCACTACTCCTGCCCTTGTTTACTTCCCCAAGGGAACCTACGTCGTTTCGAAGCCTATAATTCAATACTACTACACCCAGCTTGTTGGCGATGCCGTCGACATCCCTACTATCAAGTCCTCGGCCAACTTTCAGGGCATTGCTGTCATCGACTCCAACCCCTACGCCGACGGCGGCGTCAACTGGTACACCAACCAGAACAACTTCTTCCGCCATATTCGCAACTTCAAGATCGATATCACTGCCCAGGGCAAGTCTACAGGAACTGGTCTACACTGGCAGGTCGCTCAGGCTACTTCTCTTCAGAACATTCAATTCGACATGATCAAAGACAAGAGCAGCGACAACAAGCAGCAGGGCATCTTTACCGAAAACGGCTCCGGTGGCTTCATGTCTGATCTCACCTTCAACGGCGGCAATCTCGGTGTTTTTTGGGGTGCTCAGCAATTCACCACTCGCAATCTAAAGTTCAACGGATGCCGCACCGCCATTTATATGAACTGGAACTGGGCCTGGACCTTCCACGGCCTCAACATTGATAGCTGTGATATTGGTTTGGATATGTCTAGCAACGGTCAAGACCAGCAGCAAGTCGGTGCTGTTCTCGTCCAAGACAGCGTATTCTCCAACACCCCTGTTGGAATTGCCAGTCGCTACAGAACGAGCCAGAACGGTACCAGCGGCACACTAGTTGTCGACAATGTCGATTTCAGCAAAAACTGCCCCGCCGCTGTCAAAAACCCCCAGACCAACGACATCATCCTCGACGGCAACACCAAGGTCCAGTCTTGGGTTCAGGGTCGAGCCTACAAGGGCAACAGTGGTAGCGCCGTCCAAGCCACCCAGAACCCCGTTACGAAACCCGATGCGCTCCTTGATAGCTCTGGTAACATCTTTACCAGGCCCAAGCCCCAGTACAACGACGTCGATGTCTCCAAGTTTGTTTCCGTCAAGTCCAAGGGAGCCAAGGGTGATGGTGTCACCGATGATACCGCCGCCATCCAAGCTGCTTTCGACAGTATTGGCGGCGACCAGATTGTCTACTTTGACCACGGCAACTACGTCGTTACAGACACTGTCAAAGTTCCCAAGAATGTCAAGGTTGTTGGTGAAATCTGGCCAGTCATTTTCGCCGGCGGCAACAGCAACTTCCAGGACCAGAGTAACCCCAAGCCTGTTTTCCAGGTCGGTAACCCTGGAGATGTAGGCACTGTTGAGATGCAGGATATTATCTTCTCTACCATGGGTCCTCAGCCCGGCGCTATCTTGATGGAGTTCAATGTTGCTGGCCAGGACAAGGGCGCTGCCGGGCTTTGGGACCTTCACTTCCGCGTCGGTGGTTTCGAAGGAACGAAACTTCAATCCAATCAGTGCTCCAAGAACCCCCAGAAACTTTCTCCTCCCAAGTCTGAGTGTATCGGTGCTTTTATGCTCATGCATATAACTTCTCAGGCGAGCGCTTACTTGGAAAACACTTGGTTCTGGGTTGCCGACCACGAGCTTGACCTTGGCGACCATAACCAGATCAATATTTATAATGGACGCGGCATTCTCATCGAGAGCACCAAAGGTGCTTGGCTCTGGGGTACTTCTTCGGAGCACAGCGTTCTGTCCAACTACCAGCTCACCAAAGCCAAGAATGTCTACATGGGTCTCATCCAAACCGAGACTGCCTACATGCAGGGCAATCCTGATGCCAAGGTTCCCTTCAAGTACAATGCCAAGTACAGCGACCCCGATTTTTCGAACTGCACTGGTCCTAAGTGCGCCAGAACTTGGGGTCTCCGCGCCGTCGATTCGAGCGATATCCTTATTTACGGTGCTGGTCTTTACAGCTTCTTCGATAATTATGATCAGAAATGTGTCAACGGAAATGATTGCCAGGACCATATTCTTGATATTCAGAACTCTAGCGTTCATATTTTCGGCCTCGCCACCAAATCGAGTATCAACATGGTTACTCTCAACAACCAGCCCGCCGCTCTCGACAAGGACAACAGAAATAACTTCTGCGCCGCCCTGGCATCCTTCTCTCCCTAGAAGGGTGATGAAAATGTCCCGGGCGGACCCAAGACCGCGCCCAGTAGCAGCGCCGAGCCAAAGTCCACTTCCAATACTCCGACTCCTACGTCTTCAACTTCGACAGTAAGCGCTTACACCGAGTCGCCTCCCACGACCACTCATTCTAACGTGCTCGAAACGACAGTCATCTATACCACCACACTGTACGTAACTGCGACTGTCACTGTCTAGGCCTCGTACGCACATTTGGGATTACGGTGCGAGAGTGTTTAGTGCGAGCATATCCGAGCCCTTTTAGGGCCCAGTGCGATGGTCAACAACGCTGCAGGTGATCATTTTTGTCCTTTAGGTATCTTCTTTTCATTGGTTCATTTTTTACATTTGTCTATTGTTTCATATTTACAAGACGTTTACCCGCCACCTGCCCAGGAAGCAGGGCAAGGGTTGAGTTGTTTTTTCGGAGACAAAGTTATGCCTCAGTGCTCGGTAGCTAGAAACTTGAGACTGATAGAATAAATTCGATAGAATGTTTGTGATTTTTCATGAGGGCCTTGATCGTAACCGAGGGACTCGGGTTCGTACAAGTCGTGCGCCACTTTTGACTCCCATCTCGTTCAAGTGCAAATCTTGGCAAACTTTTCGACGTCGGTACGCTATTACCCAGCAACAGTTTATATCCTGCCATCAAAATCAACATCAGGGTAATTGTTTCGATTCAATATGCAATCTTCCTCGGCAATCCTTCAAGTGTGAACAGACTAGCAAAGATTAGATGCGGCTACAACAAAGCGACACCAGAGCAAGCACCATTCAAACCCAACAAAGCCGGGAGTTATACAGACTGCGGAAGAAATATTTAGTCATTCTTCAAGATTATGCTCAAATTTCTTCTTCCTCTATACTCCCGTTCGCGATCACGGCCTGGTGTGGCGCAGAGCGAAGCTTCCAGCATGCGCCACACCCGATCTGGCGCTAGCCACATTGAAACCTCCCACGTCATAGGAAGGTAATAACTGTCAATATCATCACCAACCAAGCTTGCCTTTTAGAACCTCCTTTTTGCTCACCTCATCTCCTTCTTCTTCACACCACCACCCTAGCCTCACATGCCGTCTGACTAAATTAACCCCTCTTCCCAAAAGTAGGCCAGACAGATTGATATCCGAGGCGCAATGCCTGCCACAAAACGAGCTGGACGAACAGCCGCAAACGCTTCCTCGACGGCCGACACCACCACCACCACCACCACCACCACCACCGGCGGCATGACGTCTGCGGCGCGGCGCACCTCGCCCTTTATCCCGACGCCCGTCGAGCGACTCGCACTGGGTCTCTTTCCGCTGCTTCTCGTCTTTGGCTCGCTCTTTGCGCTGCTCTCGCCGGACACGCGCGCGCTGACCTACGACGCCACCACGCAGTCGCACCGGGCGGCCGACGGCTCCCTGGCGCCGAGCTACTTTGCGCGCAAGTCGAACCTCTTCAACGTCTACTTTGTCAAGCGCGGCTGGGGCTGGACCACGGCGGCGCTGCTCGTCTTTGTGTTTCTGCACCCGGCGGTGGCGGCGCCGCGGGCGCGGGCCCGCGCGGTCGCGCGCTG